GTGTCTACAAAATGCAACTCTCTAGATAACAGGTTTAAAGTAAAGATTTAATACAGTCTCCATCTCCTGTGATGTTGCAGTGACAGTTTAAAACTCATTCTCTAAATCTCAGCAGACTTTATAGCTAGCACTGGGCCAATATAAAGTTTAATAGCATTACAACACATAAATCATCTTTTAAAGATGCTACTAGTAGCTCCAATATTAAATGCAGACAATCGCCTGTGTTATAAATAATTTATCAAACACCATTTCAGATTAGCCTTCCATGCTGAGTTATTTATTTTAGCCTTTTCTGTATGATTCCTAAGGCACTTTTTGAAAGATCCATTACTGGTCAGTTTAATGAACTTGGGGGTCTGTTTTGTCCCCTCAAGCACTCGGGTACAGCTGTGGTGACCATTACATGGCCGACGTGGACCTCTTTGTGCCTTTTACAAGTGCTGCCCATTTGTCATGTAGCGGTAAATGGAGCTGCACATTGGAGTCCAGGGACACATTGCACGATGCAGTGATGGAGACAAACAGATAGCTCTATAAAGTGCTGCTTGTCACAGCTGACGTGTACTCCAGTACATCACTCTTATTGTAATCTCATTTAAGAAGCAGGGGTGGCCCAGGGGACGGATATTCCCAGTTAGTTTGGTCTTTGTAGCCATAAAGCAGGAAGTGCTCCTTTTATATTCTCTGAACTTTTAGGGAGTGTGCTTTTTGCTTGGATTAATTATTATAGGAACTTCTTGACAGAACTGTGTGCAGATTTGTCAGCAGGTTTGTCTGGACCTTCTCCTCCTGGCCCGGGGTTGGGTACGGGCAGTCACTGCTTTGAGATAAATTTTGTCTCAGTGCTTCCAGGAGCCCTTTGGCTTGCTTTCTTAAATAAGTTACCTTTTATTAAGCAACAACTCTGTGCCAGGCACTATAATAGGTGCTTTCTATACCTTATTGCTAATTTCCTGCAGCAGTCCTTTGGGAAATCCTAATTTATCTTCGCTGTAACTACAAGGGAGGAGAGTGAATTCGGAGAGGTGAAGTGACTTGCCCAAGGTTGCACAGCAGTAAGTAGGAAATGGGATTCAGACCCAGTCTGCCTCCACATCTGCCAGATTAACTTTTAACCACCAGGTGGTGATATTTTGGCTGAGTGTCTCAAGGTAAAAGGAAGCAGCCATTGGGCCAGAGGGCCATTTTTCTGATAGCCAAGATGAGTCCTGCTGGTCCGTGTGCACACTGAATCCAAGCTCCCTTGTGACTCGCAGCGTAAATCCACAGCAGCTGGCCGGGGGAGGACGCTGGCCTGGCAGTGGGCGGCAACAGCATGGCACCTGGGTCTGCTCAGCTGGGGCCACGGGCTCTGCAGGGCCCTCATCAGAGCCCCTCAGTAGCAGCTGTCCCCGGGCAGATGCTGCTCAGAACTTGGTTCACCCCGCAGCTTCCAGAAAAGGGAGGTGCAATTTCCCTAGGAAGAAGGAATCCTAAAGGAAGGAACAATGCTTCCTGCATTTATTGTGGGCCAGAGACAGATAAAAATGTGGTGTTTTCCCCATCTCTTGCATTCAGTTGGTGGTTCTTCTCGATGGTTTTCTTAAATATTTGGGAGAACGTGTTAAAGACAAGAGTTGTTTAATTGTGAAGCTCCACTATAAAGAAAACACAGTATGAATATGCCCAGCAGCATATTTGCATATGAGTCTAGAATTCTGAGTGTGGAAATACGCTGTAAAAGATAGTGTTTGGCATACGAAGCGTTTCCTAGAACATAGTAGGTGTCTCTAAATATTTGTTGAAGACATTAACTATGTAAGTAATGGGTAGACAGTAGAGCCTTGGTAAATTTTCACCATTTGCCTTTTGAGGGTTTTTGCTAGGGGTGGGGGATATGCGAAATAAGACATGGGTTTTGTTTTGTTTTTAAGATTTATTTATTTGAGAGAGAGAGAGAGAGTGCTAGCAGGGGGTGGGGGGAGGAGCAGAGGGAGAAGGAGAGAGAATCTCAGGCAGACTCCCTGTTGAGTGCAGAGCCCAGCGCAGGGCTTGATCTCATGACCCTGATATCATGACCTGAGCTGAAATCGAGTCGTACACTTAACTGACTGAACCACGCAGGGGTCCCAAGACATGGGTTTTTAATATTGATCTCTGCCATGTTACATTGTAGAAATGTTTAAGTGGTGTCTGTGAGCAATTTGGGAAACACAGTGCTCCCCCCACCTCTGTTACGGAAATGACAGTTGGAGGAACCGCCCGTTGGCCCAAAGACTAATTGGCAACCACCATCCACTTGCCCAGGTTCTGAAGATCCTAGGTGACTGAGGAGTGACATACCCTGAATCAGGGAACTGAGGTCCACTGTCCCCAACTCACTAAGGAGCCCCCAGCTGAGACAGGTTACTTGTGAGCTGGTATGTTGCTGTGGCATTCTGGCTCTGGAGCCCAGTGGACCTGCTGTTTACTAGCTTGGTGACCTTGGGCAAGTCATTCACTCTCTCAGCTATAGTTTCTGACAGTACTAACTTCAGAAGATGGTTGAGGGCAGAGGTAAAAATGATCATCAATATGGCTGACTCAGTACTTGGCACATTGCGGTAGGTGCTCAATAAGGTTCATTCAATTTCATAACATTGAGTCCTGTGTATATGAGATGAGGGTAGGATTGGAAAAAAGATCAGAGACTTGTGAGATTTTCTTCCTTAAGGAATCGGTGGGGAGGAAAGGAATTTAAAAGGTGTCTTTTCCCAATTTTTAAAAGCCTTTTACACTTAACAGCACATAATGATAATTTTATGAATAAATCAAGTTATACATAATACAAAATTTTTGCACATTTTTAATTTTTATAAGGTCATCTATTCACATTACAGAATATTTGCAAAATAGAGGAAGATTCGCCTGTGATCTATGCACTGTCGGTATCTGTGTGCCCAGTTTCACTGACGGATATTAGATATGCATGTCTGAGATCATGTGTATATCTCCGTTTCCTTGGAGTCTTCTCCCATCTCCGTCCCCAAACGTAGAGCGATTTGGGAAATTTCAATCTGCAGTCCTAAGTGCAGCCGGCAGGGTTTGTGACATTTACTAGGTACTGTTGGCTGGCTCAAGGCACCGGCAGCAGTGATGTCAAAGCAAAGAAAATCATCAAACAGAGAAAGGAAAGGAAGAGGAGAGGGTCGGTGAGGAGCAGGGGAATAAGGGGCTGCCCTACACACATGCGTGTGTGTGTGTGCAAATCTAGACTCTTTTAATAAGAGAAACAAGTTAGAGTGAGGCTGTGTCCGTTAAGTTACGGTTGGGTTTTGTCTGTATGGTAGCAGCCATCTCCTCTCAGATGGTTTCTTTGCTTCCACCTTCACGGGCTTTTGGCCCCTTGGGCGCCCCAGGAGAGAATTCCTGATTGGAGGATCCTGTTTGAATGAGTTCTCACGGAGCTGTATATGCACAAGAGAATAACCAGCTCCATTGGCCCAATGTAGGTGCCACTCAGAAAGTGAAAACACCTGGTAAGTTAAAGATCGGACTAACCCCCCAGCTCCTACTGCTGGGTTGCTGAGGATCCCACTTCCAGCAGAGCCTTCTCGATCCTTCTCCGAGTCTGTAGAGGGCGCTCATGTCACTGGAATCCCACTTCGTGGCTTTAGGGCAGGCAGAGGAGCAGGAACCCTGAGTGGCTCAGATCTTCTCACAACAGAAAGTCAGCAAATCTGCCCTTTGATGATCTCAGGCTGGACTTTGGGGCGGGAAGTCCTCTTTCTCAAAGAGTGGTACTTAGATGAGCTCTTTAGTTCAGCTTGCATATTTGTGGACTCCTAAAGTGCTGGCGAATGGGGAAGGGGCAGCATAAGGGCAGCACTCTCTTCCTTGGGAGAATGGTTCATTTTTTTTCCTTGTTGCCTAAAGAGTTTGTACGTGGTGCTCCCCAGGTCCCACCTTGCTGCCTCCGCTACCTGCTTTCGGTTTTACTGCCCTGCTTTGTGCATGCCTGGTGCATGGCCTGCCTTGCAGCCCCCTCCCTGAAGCATCGCTGAGCCTGCCAGTGTTTCCACAGCTCCTCACACTGCATTGTAGTTACGTGGGGCTGATACCCCTACTGGACTCTAAACCCCTACAGGGCGGAGACCTTGGGGCCTCATCCCTCTCTGTAGCTCTACCTCCTAGCACAGGACCCGACATATGAAAGGCCTTCTTGAATCAGAAATGAATCAATCCACCTTTTCACAAGTACCCCGTTGGTGACTTAGACTTGCTTCTAAAAGGAGAAGTAGAGGAGAGAATGATTCAAAGGAAGGAATCACTGTAAGTGAACATGTAGGCTCTTTAGTAGAGGCAATAGATTCTCTTGGACAAGAGGTCCCATCCTTGGCTTTGCCACCATTTTGCTAGAACTGTAATGTTTTGGTGTTAGTTTTTCCCCCTGATATGACTTCTTCATTATGTTACCTGAAAGCAGGTTCCAACCATTATTGAACATTTTTGATCAGGGGTTAGCAAACTATAACCCGTTGTCTCTCCACCTATTTTTGTTAATAAAGTTTTTTTGGCATACAGCCACACTCATGTGCTTATATGTTGTCTGTGGCTGTTTTGTGCTACTGTGACTGAGTTGAGTAGTTATGACAGAGACAGTGTATCTACAAAGCCCAAAATATATAGTACCTGGCCCTTTACAAGAAAAGTTTACTGGTCCCTGTTTTAGATGATAAATTGCTCCCTGTCGGCCCAGAGTCCTCAGTCATTCAGTGATTATCTGATGTGAAGCAGCGTTTTGAAAGAAGGGGTGCATGCAGAAAGGGTTTAAAAGACCTGGTTCCTGCACTTACTAGCTGAGGAACCTTCAGCAGGTCGTTCTGGTACTTTGAGACCTTTTCTTCATCTATCAAACGGGCATTGAAAACATCTACCTCATTGGTGATTCTGTGCACTGCTCGTGAGAGCACTTCGTGGATGTCAAGAGCCACCCTCCCAGCAACTGTGGACGTGATCATTGCCATTCTCTTTCTCAGGAGGAGGAAGCCAAGAAGCTGGTGAGTGAAGCCATTGCAGCTGGCATCTTCAACGACCTGGGATCTGGAAGTAACATTGATCTCTGTGTCATCAGCAAGAGCAAGCTGGACTTCCTCCGCCCGTACTCAGTGCCCAACAAGAAGGGGACTAGGTGAGTGAAGGAGATGAAATTCTGCCTGTGTCCCCCGATTCCCGCGGCCACTCCTGATCTCTCCACGGCATTTAGATAAGGTTTTCTTGATTGTTACCCGGTGAAGTAAGGCTAGTGTCCCCAAGCCAGCCTTACACACAGACCTTCGAGTCCTTATTTGCTTTATGATTTGGGTTGCTGTCAGGTATAGAAGAGTGATTTTACTTGTAAAATGTTGATGGGAGAGGTAGAGCAGGGCCCAATAGAGATTCGAATCACCTGCTATTCTTTCTCTAGTCTCTTAAAGAATCCCCTGAATTCTGTATGACATCCCACAAGAAGCATTTTTCAGGGAAACCAGCCCGTAGCTTTTCTCAGAGTGATCTAGGAGTCCTAAGCAGTTATAAACTAGGGGTTAGGAGTCTTGAAAGTTAGCCTGGGGCGCTCCCTGGTGTCTCCTGCTCTCCAGGGAGCCGTGCTGTTCCACCTGGGGCATATGCCAAGCAGGCCCTGTGTTTCAGTGGTGTGGCCCAGACTCAGAGGGGGAACAGGGTTCTAGCCAGTTTGCTGACTAGAACTGGAAGGTTTACAGCCCCGGTGACTGGTGTGTACAGATGAGCTGCTCATTTGCAGTCTTGCATGGTTGTCCAGCTGTTTGGCCATCCTCTGGCTCCTGACCTCTTCCATGGGCCTGACAGCTCAAGATAGGGCTCCCAAGCTCTGCTTCCAGCTGCACTCATGTGAATGTGGTACAGCAGGATTTACAAACTCCACCACTTCCCATGCAGCCCCATAGTGAGGCCAGAGTACAGCAAGCACATCACCTTCTGGAAGCCTTCCTTTAACTCTCACTGCATATACCCAAATTCCAAATCAGGAGTAATTCCAAGGAAAGAGTAGAACATTGAGAACCAGCACCGCACTCAGCACTGTGGGAACTCAGTGTGCTCGCAGCAGGTAGGGTAGTTCAGCAGCAAAGAGTTCTGGTTCAGGGGTTGGGGAGAGGTCATTGCCTCGCATGGTGACTTTGGGCCTGTCAGTCTCCTAGTCTTTGAAATGATGCAGCTAGATAGGTGAACAACCCGTGGAGTACCTGGGCTTTGAGCTGGAAAGGAAACCACCTTTCAGGCCTGGGGCTTTGCTGGGGGAGCAGGCTTTGCTGAGCCAGCTCCCTGACGCCTGGGTCCCCCATTATACGCAAGATGCTGCAGGAGCTGAGAGTTCAGGGAGGAGGACATGGTTACACTCCATCCAGACAGAACAGAGTCCTGGGTGAGGATTCTGGAAGCCACGTTTGAGCCACTGAAAAGTAGTATTTATGTAGGACGAGGAACCTGTGCTCAGGAGTAGCACATCTTAATTCTTTGGGACATTGTCACTCATCTGTAAAAGAGACTATAAACCCACAAGAAGAGACACAAAACGACCCTGTTGGCTAGTTGTGAAGATTCAGTGGGCTGTGGTATGAGAGGGCCTCGGCCCGTGGCAGGCGTGCGCTGGGCCCTGCGGCAACGCTGCACGCTCTGGAATCTCACCGTCCTCTTTCCTGCCAGAGGCTGACTGGTGGGGCGCTGCCTGGGGTAGGGGAACCTTTCCCAGAGTGGGCAGTCAGGCTAGGGGCAGAGATTCGGCCTGGGCGGGTGTGGACCCAGCCCTGCACCTTCCTGCTAGCTGCTCTGCTGCCAGCCTGCCGCAGCCCTGCTTTGGAAAAGCCCTCCCCGCCTGCCGGCACCAGGCGCCCGTCACCAGGATGGTGAGGCTCTTGCGTGTCTGAGCCTCCCCCAGATGTGGCGGTTCAGACGAGTCGGGCACACAGGAGTCGCTTGGGGCATCGGGCTCCAAGATGACAAAGCTGCCAAGGGTCCAGTCCGGGGGAAGGAGCCAGATCGTCACACCTGCAGGGGAGGGGCAGGGCACACCTTGAGAAGATGCTGCTGCTGAGTGTGGTGGGGACCGATGGCTGAGCGGAAATGAGGCCAGCCGTTTGCTGCACGAACTCCTGGATTTCTGCAGAACTCGGACGTCGCCCACTTTTTCCTGCTTCCTGCTCCCTGTTTGAGCACCAGTGCCCATTTGAGGGGCTGATTTTCAAGGAGCACGTGGTCACAGGATAGCTAACAGCCTTCTGTTAGTCCGCGCCAGATTGACAGAAATAATGTCCCAGCTGGGGAAAGACCAGAGGAACAGTTGGATTTGTACTGCTGTTTGACGATATTGTAATTCCTGGCCCCAATGTGAGAATTAGCAGCTCAGATGTGGCTCTTATAGACTGCTTGTGCTCAGAGAAACCAGTGTCAGGAGTCACTCCGAGAGAAGGTGTGGGGCGTGACCTGGTGGGGACCCACCGCACTGCCGCAGGGAGCAGCTAACCCTTCTCAAGGCTCAAGAGTGTAGTCTAGAGTGACAAGCCCAGAGTCCGGCTTCGGGTCATTTTTATACTGTTTTTGCTTCCACATTTTAATGTTTAAGGTAACAATTAAGTCGTCCTTGTTTCTACACAAAAGAAGGGTGATGACAGCCTAACAAAAGGGTCCACTTTCTGCTGATACTGAAGGGTGCTTTTGGGGAGTTGAAGCTCGAAGGCAAATGACCAAGTGCTTTCCAGCATCTTCTGGGGAGGGTGAGGTGGAGAAGGAAATGTGAGGGCCCATTAAGTGCCAGGTGCTCTATCTGAGTGCTTTTAGGGTGCACATCTACCAGGTGCCCCTATTTTGTAGCTCTGCAGCACTGGGGAGAGTGAGCCTTGGGGCAGTTGAGTCCCCCCAAGGTTACAGAGCTGGGAATCAGGAGAGCTAGGCTCTGAGTCCAGTCCTGCTTGCTGCCTTGCCTGAGTACTTGTCCCTCTCTCCAGGCCTCTGTTGGGCCCCTTGAGGGGATCCTAACTCTGCTTTTTTCTCCCACTAGGTTTGGCCGGTACAGGTGTGAGAAAGGGACCACTGCAGTCCTCACTGAAAAAGTCACCACCCTGGAAATCGAGGTGCTGGAAGAAACAGTTCAAACAATGGACACTTCCTGAATGGTGTCCGTGGAGTACCTGGGCTTTGAGCAGGATGGGAATCACCCTGATGGGCTGATTAGTGCTCTAGGAGATGGGGGGGTGGGGAGCAGTGGCGGCTCCCCCATAAGACCTTCATTTGGCGCAGTGTCTGCTGAATGAGACCCAATAAAAAAATGAAAATCGGATTGAATGGCTGAGGTCTGGAGGTTGTGTGGTTCTTTGGCCAGTAAGGCTCATCGACCTGCCCCTCCCCCCCTTCAGGATATTAATCCGTCCCCCAGTGCCCGTCTGCGTTCACACAGGTGTTAAGAGCAATGTAACCCTCCTAAAAGCAGGTGAGGCCTCATCTGTCACGGAAGTCAGATAAACCTTTCTACCTACCCCTTGTGCTAACTTTTTCTTTCTGTTCGGGGTGGTCCCAGGTTTTCTTTTGTTTTGCTTTTTTAGAGTGAAGGCAGCGCAGCCTTTTACCTCAGCAGCCAAGTAGGAAACAAGTAGAGACATCAGTTCTAAATACCAAGAAAAAGCAGGTAGGTGGACAGTTGGCTTCGCCATACCTGCATAAAACTGGGTGAACTGCTCATTGGCCAGTTTCACAGAAGTTGCAGGAATGCTTTGGGGCTTTACTGTTTGTGGTAATTAGGATACCATCATTTCACAAGCACTCAGGCCTGGTGAATGGCTGAAATTTCACGCCTCCGGAGGGTCCTGGTGAGCAGAGTTGCTCTCATGGTGTTGAACATGGGTGGCGTGCCGAGAGCAAGTTCATCCACGTCTGTGGCTGATTCTGCCACGGGTGACACAGTAGAGGCTCTGAGAGCCGTAAGCAGAATATGTGCAAAAAAATCTGTGTGGAATCAGAAAAACTTCCAGTGGCAAGTGCTAGTAGGCAGGAGATAGGGCCTTGACTCTCCCCCAGAGATAGCATGGCTGGGGTACACGGGAAAGAGTCCCAGCACCATGATCTTCCAGACTGAACCCGCTCTTGGGGCAGCTGCCCTTGTTAAATTGCAAGGAGTAGGGTAGGGAGAACAATGGAATTATTTAGGGCAGCGTCCTGGCCGACGATTATCAAAATTATCTGGGGAGCTTAAAAAAATTCCAAGATTACTCAGAATGTCTGGGGCCTGAGAAATTGTGTTTTTAAAGGTGCCTGGGGAAATTGTGCTGTCACATGAAGCTGTTTTAAAGTTATCTGTGAATTATACTCACTCACAGAAGTGACCCCTCTTACCCCATTTTATTTCAAACATGGAGAACAAGTACAAAGCAAAGATTGCATCTGAAGAAAATGTCTCAAACCCGACAGGGTTACAGTAGAACAGAGTTCACACGTGGAAACAGAGCAGGGGCCCAGCCCAAGTCCTTTATCCCCAGGGAGGCCTGGGCCCCTGGTCAGCAAGTTGGCAGCAATCAGAGCACCTGACCAGAACGCTGACTGACTGGGCGGGCATGTCTCTATCTGGAGGGCTGAACTGTCACCAAGTCGATGGGTGACAACTTAGACCATTTGAGGATTAACTTGAGTAGAAAAGCAGAATTCAAACTATTTCCTTCAGAGCTTGAGTTTTCCTTAAGTTCACATTTATAAATTAGTTTTCACAGTTAATCCTATTTGGGAACAAGAAATAAATGAACATAGTTCTGGTTTCCTATGCATATAATGTAGTTGTACGTTAATTCTTGACTTACATGGTCCGTGGACTTCAGTTTTGTGAAGGGGTGGGTGAGTGGCTACCATTTTTGGATCATCTGCAATGTGCTAGGTCACTTGCCTATTTTATTTCCAATTCTGCCAGCAAGGTTGAAGGTAGATACTATTCCCATTTTACAGATGAGGAAACTAAGGCTCAGAGAGGCTGAGAGAGTCGCCCAGGGTCATGGTAGGCAGTTGCAGAACCAGAACTTGTACAGAGGATGGCCTGAGGGCATGGTTTATATTTCTATTTTTGGTATCCTGTGCTTCCTTCCCACAGAGGAGAATGCCTAACACTGACTGTTAAATGAACTGCCGGCCTTCCAGCAGGTGGTGGAGGGAGGGCCAGAGGCGCCTGGGACGGAGCAGGTGCTCGGGAGGGGAGGGCTGAGCGGGGCTGCACAGAAAACTCCACCCCTGGCTCACAAAATACCGGTTGCCTTCTGAAACTCTGTGCCAGATGCTGGGTTCTCCTCATCGTCATTCATCACATTATAAACATACATAAAAATATTAGGAAAATCTCCACTCTACTTAAAAAAAATTATTCCCATTTTATCCTTTTACAACAGAGCAAGCACACAGCTTGATTTTTTTGAAAAGATTCAAAGAGCTAAACTGAACTTGCTATAACCAATTTGAAAGGCTCACAAGTCACACTGTCTCCTGCAATTCTCCTGTTCTTATAAACCTGACAGGTCACTGAAGGAATTATCCTAAAGATTCACATTACAATCCAGATACAAGGGGTACGTCGGTGACTCGCCGAACCACTCACCCTTGGTAACAAGCCAGCTGAGATTGTCCACAAACAGTTTAAAGAAAGGACTTTCGAATGTGACCACCAGTGACCCTGTGACCAGTGCCCCTCCCCCTGCATTCAGCACCTGCTGTGAAGCCCGGGGTACCCTCTGGGGAACCTGCCAAACCCTCTTGTCTTAGTTGATGATCTAGGCTACCAGGCGGCCACTTCGGAGAGAAGACTCAAGTAAGGCAAAGTGGTGCGGCTCTGAGAAGGCGTGCTGCGTCCACGTTCAGGTGCTGGAAGTCCACACGTGCATCTGTTTGGCAACCTGGTGCACGTATCCGATGTCGGGTCTCTGGTTGGGGTCGGGGTAGATGCACATGCTGACCAGTTCTCGTAACTGTAAGGGCGAGAACGGCGTGTTATTTTTCAGGAGACAGCCTCGTGGAGGCCCCGTGCCCGCGCTTGGCCTGCACAGACTCAGCCCTCACAGCTACCGAGGGGAGCCCGGCACGCAGGTGAGCGACGGGTGGGCACTCACAGTCGGCACCAGTGCTAGGCCGGTCTGGCCCCAAGGCCACACCTTGAGACCCTGTGAGTGGCTCTGTCCAAACAGTTGTGAACTTCCAGCTGCCCACACGTGTGTGTGTGCGCGCGCGCTGTCAGTCATGCAGATACCCAAACCAGAGAACAAAACTCAAGGCGAGGGCTTATTGATCATAATAAATGCATTAACATGCAGCAGGGCTGCAGTCTGCCCACCCCCTGGCCTCTTTATTGTGCGCATGAAAGACGGAGCTTTTAATTATACAGACACTGAAGGCTGCTCCCGCCTCGGGCTGGGGGAGGGGCGCCTTGAGCCTCTGATCGCCTCTGTTCTTCTGATAGCCAGAGTGCCAATTATTTTAATAGTAATTAAAATAATGACCTTAAAAAGCCTACATCTTCACTTGCATCACTGGGCTCACTGCAATTTTTTCATTTAAATACCTGGTGCGAGAGGGGCTGGCCGGCCCTGCAGGGTGGGGGAGGCAGCAGCAGAGAGAGGGCTGGTCCTGAATGAGAGGGCTCACGTGGACTCGGTGGCCATGCTCAGGGAGTCTGGGGAGGGTGGAGGGGTCAGGTGGGGGCCCCGGGGCTACTGTCCACGCTCCGTGTTTCACACCTGAGGTGCTTCAGGCTGCAAACGAGGTTTCCCTGGGTCAGGCATTGTGAGCTTCCCTCCAACCTGCGTGCTGCCCTGAACACTCCTGGAGTCTGAGGTTGCCCGTGATGAGACAATACTTCTGGAACCTTACAGTATTCAGGGGAAGGCAGCAGTAGTTGGACAAGTTCATGTACCCAAGAAAAATGGATGAGGGTAAAGTCATTGTGACTCCCAATTACTCAGTGAGTAGACTGCGCAGTTGGCAGTAAGAGTATGTCTGAAAACTTCAGAAACCAAGAGAAAAACAATAAAGTGTCTTTTATACCCCTTTCTAAGAGGTGATGTAAACTTCAAAAGTGAGGTGTGCTGAGCAACTCCAGTGCTAAGAAGCACCTCTCACTTCCGAACACACAGCCTAGAAACGCTGAACGTAACTGGTGAAAGCCGGATGCTCTGGGGAGTACGAGGTCACAGAGTTGGAGTGACTGACGAGAGAGAAGGGGGCTGAGGGCTTTATGCAGATTCATTTCATTTCAGCTTCTATTAGGCAGAGATTACGGTTGCCATTTATAGGTAGGAAACGGGCACAGAGAAGTTTTGATTTGCTCCAAGTTCCAAGTCTGTGCTGCTTGTAAATAGTACAGATTTTCAAATTTAAAAAGGTGAAAAAGAAAAACTAAATGCAGCTATTAAGTGGTTAAGAAATCTATTAGCTTGACCTTTCCTGCCAACTTCCACTCCAGAGCATAAGTACTTCCTTCGAGGAGACATAGAAGAACTTTGTAAGCCGCTGAGGCAAAAGCCATGACAGAGCGTGCACTGAACAACCCTCTAGGAATGTGTCCTCCCGACCCTCACTCTCCGTCCTCTGGGAGTCTGCAAAGCCAGTGAGCGTGGCGGTTAAGTATGAAGGCTGCCAAGAGAAGGGTGGCTGATGACCCTTTTGGTTGGCCTGGCTGGACACAGCGTGAGGACACACTGGGAGACCCGGTCTCTGCAGCCCAAGCCCCTGGTGGACAATGGCTGCTCCTTCCAGAGCCTTCAGAGTCTTCAGGATTGGGACTGCCACAAGCTGCACAGGGGTGCCTCAGCGCAGCTGGACCACTGGCTACTGAGGTGTGCCATCAAGAAACAGGATGGCACAGTGGCTGGGTGCAGGATCTCTGGGTTCAAATCCTGCCTTCACTTGTGAGTTACGTGACTTTGGGCAAGTTACGTTAACCTGTGTCTCAGTTTCCTTGGTAAAATGGAGGTGGGGGAGGACTCAATGGTGGATCACAAATGTGCGCTGTTACCCTGCCACAGTAGCCTGTGGTCCTGCAGGGTGGGCCCAGGGAGGTCTCGGAGTCCCCTCCACATCGGCTAGGGTGGCCCTTGACAGAACACTGATGGTTGGCACAGAGCGTTTACTCGGAGCCACGCCCTTTGTTACAGCTGGTGGCTCCTTTTGGTGGTCTTGGGGTCAATGTCAGCCTGATGCTAAGCTGAGCATGTCACATGCATGACCTAATCCTTACACTGACCCTGGGAGGCAGCCTCTAGGATTATCCCCATGTTACAGATGAGGAGACTGAGGCTCCGAAAAGTTCACTGACTCACCCAAGAACAGGGAAGGGATTATATTAAATGTACACATCTGTCCGCACCCTTAGTCATGCTGTGTGGTAAACCTGTTGTTTCGTCTGCGCATTTTATTCACAGAGGTGAAATATTAGCCCTATTTTCCAGAAGACGGCACTGAGGAAGGGGATATGCAAACACAGCTTGTTCCTGGCACGGACCCAATGCCAGACCTGTCCGTCTGTGTCCAGAACCCTTGCACCCAGAGCAGAATGTTTCAAGTAAGAGCCCAAGGTGTGACTTAGGTCCGGGACAGCAAGGAGCCCAGTCTGCTTGCCGGGGTTTCCTGTCACAGGATCAAGTGGCAGCTGGCTGGGGGTGGGGCAAGCCAAGGCCCCACCACCTCCTGCCTCCCCGTCTGCCACCACAAGGGGCCCTTGTCTGGGACCTGCAGTGGCCGGCCTCACACTCAAGCACCGGGTTGGGAGCCAAAGGGGCAGAGGTGAGCCAACGGGGCCTCACAGACCAGCTTCTGCTGGTTTCCGGGCCACTGGGCAGGACACGTCCTGCCGCTGGGGGCCCACGCTGGTGTCCGAGACCTCTTTAGTAACATTCATCTACTTCCCTCCCCCCGAACCCTGGGTCACTTTCCCACAAATCTTCCCTTCTCCACCCAGTTAAGTGCACCCAAGTTCAAGCCCACAGCCGTGGCATTTTGGAAATGCCTCTCCTCTCAAGCCACTGCCGGCCATTAAGCTCCCCAGGCCTGGGGGCGGCAAACTCACCTTCTCAGAGTAATGTTCTCCAGGGAGAGGTGGGTAGTCACATTGCTCGATCTTCTGGCAGAGGGAGAAGAGATTCATTTTATCTCCATAGAAGGGGCTCTGGAGAGCTGCCATCTGCAAGGGAAGGGGGGATGAGAAACATGAGTCTGCAGCCTTGAGGTCCAGGGGCAAAAGGGACCACTCCAGATTGGGGTGGGGTCCTTCTCTGGTCCTTGGCGGAGACTGTCCAGCAGGATTTCCTGAAAACCCTGCGGGAGCTGGGATACAGCACAGTAGCAGTTTTAACACGATTCTTGTCCTAAAAGCGAATTAAATGACGAGGCTTTAGTGACAAAACTTTAAAGGCAACGGGGGTGGGGTGGGAGGTGGGGGGGTGGGAGCTGAATACGGAGGGCCAGCCGCGTGCAGGCACACCCACCTCACGTCCCAGCCCTCCGGGACGGATTCTGGTCGTGTGCACACAGCAGATGGGGGAACAGGCTCTGCTCACTGGGACTCGTGCCTGGGCCCAGCAAACTCTCTGTGGTGCATTGTCTTAGATTTCTAAGAAGCAATTCCGAAGACACCCATGGGAGAGTGTCTAAGTAATGCACCGAGGAAATTACCCAAGGACTAGCATTTTGGGGGGTGGGGTGGGGAGGTGAGGCCTTTCATTTTTGCTTTTCATTCTGGCTGTTGTCACTAGCCCATCACAGAGCTGCTGTCTGAGGGCCTGGAGTTCGGGGCAGCAGCTCGGGCTCTCTGTAGAAGCCGGATGCCCAGACATCAGGGACGGGGCCTGAAGCTCCGGGGCTGAGGGGCAGCACGTCCGTGGTGCTGCAGCCTGCCTGAATCCCACTTCTGCACTCTCTTGCTGTGTGTCTGGCCTCGGCTGTCTTAGTCCGAAAGACGGAAAAGGTTCCACCTGCAGTGCTCTGGGCTCGGCTGGCACCACAAGCCGGGCTGTCACCACCCCGATGAGGCCAGTGGCGCTGGCTCTACCCGGGGGCACTGGGAAGCGAGAGGACTGTGATGGTGGTTGGGCGAGGCGGGGAGGGTCTCTCCCAGTCAGGGAGCTGCCGGGCTTCCCCCTTCTGGAGGGTATCTGGACTCCCCGGCCCATCCCTCAGGGCACTGCTCGGAGGTTTGCGGGAGCTCGGGGCAGCTGCGTCTGGCAGGCTGAGCCTCGGGCGGGCTGAGCCGCAGCCCAGCACAGTGCCCGCCGGCCCCATCTGCTGATTAATCCGTAATGGCATTCAAGTGCTGCTTGTCACTCCCGCTCACTGTTGTCTGCCGCCAAGACGGCCCAACGCCCCCTGCTAATGAAGTGCCGTCGGGTAATTGCGCCTGGCTGTCTGTTTGGCCTCGGTTCCCTTCGAGGAGCCAGGCTGCCAAGGCCACTCCACACAGACTGCTTGGCCAGGGGCTCCCGGGCTACCTGAGCAATCCTCACTTGTCCTCAGGCCCCGGAGGGCAGGCCAGTGAGCCCTAACGCAGGGCAGGGAGAAAGCCATGGGTGTTGGGTCTGCGGATGACCCTGGCTTTAGTGTTCCCGGTCTGTCCCTGTCCTCTGTTCGCCCCTGTGGACAGGTCTGGTGGCCCCAGGAGCAGGGCCTGTCTCTGTCAGGAGGGCCCAGGGAGCTTCCGAGCCCAGGTGGCGTCCATGGGTTTACAGAAGGCCTTTGGGGAGACAGCACCGTGTGGCCTGGAGACTGGTTTCCTCTGGCCCCGGCCCAGGAGTCCACCCGGGGAAGCACCTGCGGGCCCAGGCGCCTGCGCCATGCCGAGTGCTTTCAGGGGGGCGTTCGGGGCCAGCCTCACCGCTCCTCCTCACCTCTCCTCCTGTGACTAGGGGCGCCAAGCCCCTGGAGGAGGGCTGCAGCGAGTGACCCGGCACTTGGCCGGGAAGGAGGAGCTTGTGGAGGCCCTGCCCACCGTGGGCTCCGCCAGCCTGATGGGGGGGGGCGCGGCTCAACCGAGTGTGCAAAATGGCATTGCTCGGGTGATGCATTTCCAGTAGTTAAAATGAGAGCCTCGGGTGCAAAGGGTTAATTGGGCAGTTTCAAAAGGACATCTGTTGCCACAGCAGAGAGCAGCTGAGGCTCCAGGGCGGTCACTCGGGGTGAGCTGGGTGCCCTCCGAGTCGTGGCTGGATGATTAAGATGGATTTTCCTGGAAAGTGTTTCTGTTCAGAGTAGAAAGAACATTTAAAATGTTGGCCCACTGACACAGGTTCTGGTTTTTCATGTGTTGGACCTGGGAGACTGGCTAATCCTTTTAACAAGCCGTTCTGATTTACACAAACCTTGTTGTTTAGGGTTCCAAAAGGGCTCCAGAAAATGGTGGGGGGTGAGCCTCAAGCCAGCATCTCCTTCAGAGCATCCCTCCTTCCTTTGCGGGACGCTCCCTCACTGTCCCGAACAGGGTCAGCAGAGGGCTCCCTGCCAACAGCGCCTTCTCCATCCACGAAGGCAGATTCCAGCTGCCAGCCATGGGCCTTCCACCCAGATCAGGGCACTGGGCTGTGAAGGAACCTCTGGGGCTGCTCGAGGTGCTGGGATTAGAACAATTACTCTGAATGCTGAGATCCTGGCACCGGCAACCAGGCGACCACCCACTTCTGCCTGGTCGATGTGGCGGCAGACTCGCCGTTTGGGGCTGATCCCGTTGGCCTTGTCAGAATTGCAAGAGCCGTGGCACTCAGCCCCGCTCCTCAAATGCAGAACTTTTCCTCTCTGGTGTTATGGGGATGACACACAGCCAGGAAGTGGGAGAATGTGGCCACTCACCCCCGCCGGGAGGGCTCAGAAAAACTGGTGTGTGATCTGAGATGTCAGAGGGAGAAGGGGACTCTGACTTCAGAGGTGACAGCAACTACCTTTGACTCCTGCCCTGTCAGGGCCTCAGACACTCATCTTGTCACCTAGTATCTCCTGAGCACATCCTGGAGTGAAGGCTGTACCCAGAGGCCAATCACCAGTGGTCTGCAGCCCTGTTCCCCCACAAGCCAAAGGGCACCCAGACTCTTCTCTGGGTCCTGCCAGAATTCCAAACAGGATTCTGTACAAGGGGCAGGTGATCCTTAGTCTGGTTCCCCTGCTGCTTTCTTGCTGGCTCTCAGTGTCCCGATGCTGCTGTGGAAGGTCACCTGCCGAGGATCCTGGGGCTGGCGTTGGATGAGCCAATTCCTTCAGCTTTGTGCTCAGAGCTGAGCTCACGTGTAAATAAATAAATTCTGCAGAGCCCGCGCTGTGGGCCGGGCGCCTCCGCGGGGCGTGCTGGGTAATGAAAACAAAGCCCCGGGCCTTCTAACATGGTGTCTCCGCTGGAGGCTCCTGCCACCGGAGGGGCGGGGGGGCACTGTAGTCACTTGGGCCTCCTCACGGCCTGGCCTTCATCTCCCAGGGGCTCTGGGCCGAGGCCCACGGTCCCCTTCTCCACCGCAGTCGTACTTACCCCAGTGTGGAGTCCTGCCCTGCGGCTGCTCAGGGCCTAGCTCTTGCCCACAGAGGGGTGGGACCTGCCAGGCAGCCTGGGGACCAGTGCCCATCTTGGTCACTTCCTTGCTTTGTGACCCTGGGGAGTCTCTCCACCTCCCTGAGCCGGTTTCCTCCCTTATAACGAGGCTGGGACTAGCCTCGTGTGATTCTCGTGATTCACCCCAACGTCCAGGGCAGTGCCGCTCCCAGCTGCTGAGCCGTCTGGCCTGTTCCTCCTCATGCTGACCTCTTCGAGACAGGTCCCAGTGGGCACCGCCCCCCAGGGGCACGAGCCAGGTGAAGTGCTTTGTGGCAGCTCCTCACTAGCCATGGGTCAACATCATCTTCAGGTGAGCTCAGGAGGTCCTCAGTGGATGCCTGGCTGCCCAGGTGATAGGGGGTATGGTGGGCTGAAGAAAGGCCCCCAGAGATGCCAGCATCTTCATCCTTGATGCCTGTGAATGTGTTACCTTCAATGGCAAAAAGGATTCAGCAGGTGTGATCCATTTAAGGACTCCTGGTGGGAAACGATTCTGGGTGGTCCAGGTGGGTCTTAAATGTAATCACAAGTGTCCTTGTAAGAGGGAGGCCAAGGGGACTGACTACGCAGGAGCAGGACGTGAGTTCCCAGAGTGGTATGAGGAGGGTGTCACGAGCCTCTCCATTTTCCACGGAAGAGGCAAGGAAGTGGATTCTCCCTAGAACCTGCAGAAGGAACCAGCCCACCAACGCCTTGCCTTTTGCTGAAATGGATTTTGGACTTCTGGCCCTCAGAACTGTAAGCGAATAATTTTATGTTGTACGAAGCAGTCAACTTTGTGATAACCTGTTACAGCAGCCAGAGGAGACACAGGGGGCTTCTGAGACTTCAGGCCCAGGCCGGAGCTCGGGGAAGGGCAGGCCTGTGCACAGGGGGCAGGTTTTCTCTGGCTCCACACCGTCACTTCAGGCCACCCTGGCTCAGGTGGGTCCTCCCCGGGCCGCACTGAATCGGCGGAGGTGGTCTGGAGGGGGTGTGTGGGTGGGGAGCCTCTGTGACAGCTCTTCAGGCTGGCAGCGCTTCTGGAACACACCACAGGCTGTGTAGCAGGAGCTCCAGTCGTGTCTGCGGGATGCTTCCTCCCAATTACTAAGACCTGGGCCCAGATGCATCTCCCTCCCTGTCTGCTGGGGAAACATCCGCTCCCCGCAGGGTTGGGGCAGCGGAGAGAGGGGTGGTGGCCCGCCGCAGAGCCCCTGCTGCCTGACATCCTCTGAGGGCCACGCGAGCCCTCTTCTGTGGGAGGCCCAGGGCCTCGGGTGGTGATCCGTGCCCACTGGCCCCGAGGACGACCATGCCCGAAGGACCTGACGGATTTCACCGACTTCCCACGGCCAGGACGTCCCTCCCTGGCTGCGAGCCGCAGGGCCCCACACGCTGCCAACAAATAAATCAGCTCGGCTGAACCAGAGCCTGATGCTCGGAAGCCACGAGCGCAGACACTGCCTGGTTGAGACACGTGCTTGGTGCCACAGACGAGACGCAGTGGATGGCCTCCCCGGGACCGTCGAACCGGGCACTGCGGGCCCCGGGCGGGCATCTGCCTCCGGGAGCTGAGACAAAGGCTCGGGCAGGGAGCAGGGTGGCTCTGTGCCACAGGCTTGGCATGAGCACGGGGAGCTAGCTGCCATCCTCTGGCCCCCGGAAGGGGGGCACAGACACCCGTCACACGCAGGTCTCACACCCTATTCGGCCCGCGTGTCTGTGTTTGGAGACCCTCAGGGTTCACCCGGGCAGGAAGCGGCTTCCGGAAACCCCAAACCCGGAATGGAAAAATAAGATGAACCAGCCATCTGGCCCGGAGACAACATCCAGGAGGACAGGAGGACAGAGCCGAGGCCTCCACGGAAAAGGAGACCAAGCTGCACTTCGGCTTCCTGCTGGCCAGAGCAAAAAGGGAAATGGGGCCGGCTGTGGGGGCCTCGCTGCCAGAGGTAGGCGGCAGGTACCCAGCAGCCAGAGGGTAGTGGTGGGCGTCAGCAACCTGCCTGCCATTGCCGGAGGGCCTTCTCTGAGCCAGACTCGGCTCGTGTTCGTGCGCACTGGGGCAAGGGAAGCTCCCGGAGGGAGATGCTGACTGGCCCCCAGGGCCTTTTACGGGGTGAGGGGGGGAGCGGAGCCTTGAACTCAGGTCCTTCCGACCAAAGTGGGCCCGCACTCACCCGAATTACTGCAGCCGTGCGAGTTAGCTGTGTGCTTGCGTGTGCACACACTGTGATTCAAAATCGCACCCACCCCCTGACCCCTGCCACGCCGAGGGCATCTGCTTGGGCCTGGGGAGACCAGGAGCGGCATTCCCTCCCCCTGAGGACTGACACCCAGGTGGACGATGCCCAGGTAGTAGGGGGTTGGAATCCCCTCCTCAGACCCCAGGCCTGGGCAGGGGGGCAGGGCTGTTGAAGCTGGAGCACTGAGCCTGGGGAGGGCTGGGGTGGCGTATGACCTGGGCTTGGCTTTGTCAGTGGCCTTAGCAGCCCCGGTGGCCATGGTGTTCACCTGGACTTGGAGAGACGGCTGGAGAGACCCGAAGTCATTGATTCATCTTGGGTGACAGACCCCAGTACCAGAGCTTCTGTGTGACTCTGGAGGTTTGCCCACCTGGTTTTAATTCCTTCTCAGCAAAACGAAACCAAACCAGCCCTCTGGGGCTGTTACGAATGTGCAGCCACGTGGGACACCGACTACAAGCAGGTTTCTTTCCTGTCATCCTTGCTGAGAACGTGCTTTCATCTCTTTTCTCTTGTTGCCAAAGATGCTGATTTCCCTCCAGATTCCCTCCCACACCCACTGTCCTTCCCTAGCTCATCACCTACCCCCAGCCACTCCGCACTCCCAAACCCCACACCAGCCGGTCCGTGCAGAGAGACAGGGACGGGGGAAGGAGACACAACGCAGCCCTCTTCCACCCGAGGGGGCCAGGAACCGCCCCGCACTCCCCGACCCACTGCGGCCACCAGCTGGGCACCGCCTCAGCCTGGTTGCCCCCGTTTGGTGGCCATTCAAAGAATTCCCACAACAGATGTCCTGCGGGGTCCCAGAAAGCAGGTCTGCGCCCCATCTCTGACTGTCAGGGCCTGACTCACTTCAAGATGACAGTGGGGGCCGTCCACACTGCTAACCTCCAGGAGAAGGGGGTCCCAGCCACAGATGCCACCTGGCTTCCTCTGTGATCACTAGGTCACTTCTTTAAAATGAAAGGTCTGCTCTTACAACAGAGATGCTGTGAACTTTAAACCTTGCAAAGGGATCCATTTTGACCTCAAAGCCTCACACAGTAATGCGGGGGGCGGGAGACATACCACCAAAGACCCTGGCCACAGGAGCCACCGTGGGCCCTATGTGGGTCGGCAGTGGGCAGCTTATTCCTTCAGTTTATACCCAAGCACTGTGAGCTCCATTCCCAGAGTCCACAGTCCCAAGGAAGCAAAGAAGCCAGTCTCTGTGACCCCCAAACGCCCCCGGGGGGGGGGCCCTTGGCACTATCTTGAGCATCGCTGCCCTAACAGTCAGGCCACGTCAGCTTGACAATAAGTCTCTTTAGCTTATCTGCTCCAAACCAGACCCCACACGTGCTCAGGTCAGCTCCAGGGAAAGCAGAAAAATAATCAAGGTTCCAATTTTAAAAGCAAACTGTGCTTGGTGTCTCATGGCCCTCGGAGGATTTTTCAAAGCCTTTCATGTCTGTTCTTCCATTTATCCAGACGGGGACGGTGTGGGATGGGGACTCTTCCCATTTTACAGATGGGGAGGCAGGCTCAGCAAGGTGGACAGAATCCCAGAGCTGTCCAGAACTAGGTGGTCCAGGCCAGGGTGCTGGAGGTTGGGGCCGCCAGCTCAAAGATACTGGAGGGCTCAGGCCTCCCTCCCTCCCCTGGCGGCTGCAACAGTGTCATAGCTTAGGAATGGCTTGTGCTCCCAGACCTCCGGGGGGCCGGTCACAACATGCTCATGTCGTCTCCTGTCTGAGCCTGCCAAGACTTAGAAATATGCCCGTCCCTCCAGCCAGACTGGCCAGAAATGGCCATCTGGTGGCTCCATTTCACAGCTCAGGGGAGGGGACAGTGGTCTTTAGTGAGGCCCGTGTTGCTGAGCCTGGAAGAGCATGGACACCCTCTGTGAGGAGCGTGTCAGAAGCACGGGCCAGAGCTGACTCCTTCTGTCCCCAGGGCCCTGCATGAGGCCTGATGCACGGGTGAATGACCAACAGTGGAGGAGAGCACCCTGGTTATCAGGGAAACTGGGGCAGCCAGACCCCCTGTCTGTGCCCCCTCCGTCATGCAGGCAGACTGCACCCTGTTTCTCATCCGTCTCCCTTTGCAGATCGGAGCTGCCCACGAGTGACACAGTACCCAGTCTGCCACCGGCCACACCTCTAACAAGTTCCTCCAGCCCGACGTTGTTAATCAGGCAGACATTGGGCCGAGTGCGGTGAAGGCCAGGACCCAGATGGAGCTGATGCCGCAGGTGGCTGGACGTCACCCATCCCTGCGGCCCCACCTGGAGCTGGTGGGGTGAGTCCCACCCGGGCTGGGCCCCTGCCAAGCACACCCCACTGAAAGCCGCTGAGCTGCGAGCCAGACACTTACCTCATACAGCAGACAGCCCAGAGACCAGATGTCAGACTTGAAGTTGTAGCCGTTCTCGTGGATCCTCTCCGGTGACATGTAGTAAGGCGTCCCCACTGAAACACAGGACGGGGGTGGGTGGGTGCTTATGCTCTGTGCAGAGAAGGATGTGAGGGGGAGGGGAAGGCGTGGGCGTTGGGGAGATCGGGCCTCGGGTTCCCTCTCCTCCTCTCCCCGGCTCAGATGAGAGGGCTAGGCCAGACTGGAGCTCCCACACTGGGGAGGGCACGAAAAGCCCCTGGGGACAGGGCCGGCCCCAGACCTGACACTTGGTCTGGGGGCTGGGCAGCTGGGGATACATGTTTCTGCCAAGTGTCCAGGGGAGTGAGAAGCAGTGGCCAGGCTCTGGGAAGCAAATGATCAACTGTCCTTTCAGGTGGGTGCTTGAATCCTAGAAGAGTCCAGATAAGGCTCTCAACAGTGGAAAAAAACCAACCCCTGTTAATGCTGACCGAAGCGCATCACATGTGTTAGCTCATCCGTGTTCCTAACAGTCCCCCAGTGAGGCATACCCCCCCTTTACAGATGGGGAAACGGAGGCTCAGGAAAGCGGCGGGACTGAGGTTCAAAACCAGATCTTTGGGCTCTAGAGAGTGAGCTCTTAGCCGCCACCGACCGGCGTGTCCAGACTTGGGGTTAGCCAAGATTTCTTACATCAAACCAAGGACAGAAAAGATAGCAACCATAAACGAAAAGACTGATAAATTGGGGCTTCATTAAAATTAGGAACTTTAGTTTCCCAAAAGACCCGTTCAGAGAATCGAGAGGCAAGCCACAGGCTGGGAGAAAGTAGTCTCCATACATATGCCCAACAATGGCCCCAAACGCAGGATAGACTTTAAAACTTCTGTAAATCATTAAGTAAAAGACAGCTTTTCCATCTGGGCTGCCGACATGCCATCCAGACTGAGGAAGACCCGGAAACTTCAAGGCCACGTGAGTCATGGCCACGGCCGCATCGGCAAGCACCGGAAGCACTCAGGAGGCCGGGGTAATGCTGGAGGCATGCATCACCACAGGATCAACTTCGACAAATATCACCCAGGTTACTTTGGAAAAGTTGGTATGAGACGTTACCACTTAAAGAGGAACCAGAGCTTCTGCCCAACCGTCAACCTTGATAAACTGTGGACCTTGGTCAGTGAGCAGACACGGGTAAATGCTGCCAAAAACAAGACTGGAGCTGCTCCTATCATTGATGTGGTGCGATCGGGCTACTACAAAGTTTTGGGAAAGGGAAAACTCCCAAAACAGCCTATCATCATGAAGGCCAAATTCTTCAGTAGAAGAGCAGAGGAGAAGATTAAGGGTGTTGGGGGCGCCTGCATTCTAGTAGCTTGAAGCCACATTTGGGGGGGTTCATTAAATGCTAACAAGTGCTTTTCTCAAAAAAAAAAAAAAAAAAGACAAACCCAACCCCCGGCAAATTTGCAGAAGACTTAAAAGGGCACTTCACAAAAGAGGAATATCCAAGCGGCCAGGAAGCACATGAAATGATCTTCTTCTCATTAGTCATCAGGGCAAATTAAAAGCACACTGAGTTGCTACCACCCATCCACCTGAATGGTTAAAGTTAAAAAGACTGCTATCAACCAACTCAGGGATGTGTGGAGAAACTGGAACCTTCATGCGTTGCTGATGGGGACAAAAAATGGAACCCCCACCCTGGAAAACCATGCACCACAGCATCTACTACAGCCAAAAACACGGCCGACACCATAACCTGGCAGGTCCACTCCCAGGGAAATGCCCGAGAAAACCGAGCGCTTCTGTCCATCAAGAGACGTGATCAAGAATGTGCAAAAGGGCTTTACTCATAATAGCCAGAAACTGGAAACAGTAGAAGGGGCCTATTCACACGATGGAATACTACGCAGCAACAAACAAGAACAAACCTCGGGTACATGCACGCCACCAAATGGATCCATCTCACAGGCGTGATGCTGAGTGAAAGCCGGGTACAGAAGAGCACACACTATCTGATCCCATTTTTATCAAGAAAAGGACATGTATGTATGTCCCATCTCAGTTAAAAAGCAGAGGGGGCACACTTTTGATGATCTGGAACTATACAGAGAGGAGAGGATTTCCTGAGGGGAGGTGAGCTCCCCATCACCAGAGGCATGCACATTGCAGCAGAGGGGCTGCTCTGGCAGGGCTGAGGAGGGGCCCAGAGTTTGGATTTGTAAACAGATCTGTGGTCTGAGACTCTGAGCTCAGTCTATTTGGAGGATGATTGTTCTGGATACTTTTAGATCAGACTTTGAAGGCTGCTACACAGACAGCATTTTCACCGGCCTGCAGAGACCATACGAATGTGATGGCAGTTGCTGCTGGTCCAGCCAAAGTCAGGAGCCGGAGTCCAGCTCGGCGGAGGCTGAGTCCGAGATGCGGTTTATGACCTAGGAAGGAGGGAGGTCCTGCATCACGAAACGCATCGGCCCCTGGGGGAGAACAGGCCTTTCAGTGAGCTGGAAAACAACAGGCACCCCAAAGCAGGGGCCCAAGTCAGGGTGTTTTAAAAGTACAAAACCCCAACTACCATTTTAATGGTGTCACTATTCTTTTAAAAAGAGAAGACAGTTGAACACCAGCATAAGTGGAAAAACTTATAATCTCAAACTCAAGGACAGCCCTTTGCATTGAAAAGTTTAGCTGTTTGAAAGCTTTATTACCTTCCTGTGCATCTCATCTCATTAGAGACGGGTGGGAAGGGGTTACGGCCAACCTGTAGAGGCTGTGAACGGAGGTGGGAAGGCCTGCTCTGGGCTTGACCTCCCTGGGGCAGGACCTTGTTTACCAAAGGGTCCCAGTGCCCTGCCTAGGACCAGGTCACAGGGGGCACCTTCTAAGCACCTACTCACTGAGTCGATGAATCTGTATGCATCTTATCACTGTTAACACCATTTTCTTGCAGCCTAGCGCACTGTCTACTTAATGTGCTACCCCCAGAGGGACTCCCTGATTGTTGCTCTATGTGGACACCAACCACCCTTTGATGGCAATAATCCCCAACAAGGACAGCAGCCATCACTTAAATACATGCTGGAAGGATGTGTCATCCTATCAGCAGGCTGCTATCCAGCTGAAAGAGTTGTCACTCAACATATGAATCCATGTGGGATTCTGTAAACAAATTGCACCTTCAAGGAGCAACTCCTTGAATATTCTGGTCATGAGGCAGCAAAATAAACGGGCAAGTACGAAATGGATGACTTGTGACATGGAAACCACAGGATGGAATCCAAACAGCTCTCAGCAGCTCTCGACCACACTGTATGTGACTCTGGTACCCAGGATGCTGCGGATGGAGGTCAGAGGTCCCATCCTCAGCGAGGGACAGCAGTGTCTGCCGCTGGCGACCCTGCACCCCTACCCCCCGGCCCAGCCCCTCGGGACTAGGAGCACAGGCTGGCCCTGACACCTCTCGCCGCCCTCAGTCTTGTCCTCTGTTCATTTGAGACCCACCTGGGCCTCTCGAGGAGGAACTCGGGGACAGATGACCTGTGGAGTGGCCAGGCCCACCAGAAGATGGCGAGTGCCTGGCCGCTGCTCGAGTCCCTCACATGGCTACCCCAGCCCAACCCCACCTGCTCTTCAGTTCACCTCTGTGTCTTTGCACCTGCTGATCCCCTTGCCTCCAAGGGGGCTCCTTTGTGGTCCAGGTCAGCTGCCCCCCACCCCCCACCCCCTGGCGAGGAAGAGCTGGCTGCTCAGTGAGGCCTGGACATTTGGTTTATCCCTCTGTTCTGTTACCACTTTCTCCCTCTGCTGGGGCTCCAGATCCCTCCTCAGGCCTGTGTGTGGTGAAAGCCTTTGGGAACGCGGGGAAAGAAGGGTCAAGGAACACCACCACCCCTTCTCCTCCATGCTCCCCCCAAACATCAACGCCTCCATGGCTCTTTCTGCTTTTACTCCCATTTCCACAGTGCAAGGAAAGGCAAACACCCAAAGGTGCTGGGCACCTTCTCCTAAGATGCCAGTGCTGCAGGTACCATCCATCCATCCATCCCTCTATCTAGCTATCCATCCGTCCATCCATCCACCCACCCACCCATCATCACCCATCTATCATCTGCTTATCTATCCATCCATCAGTCTGTCCATCCATCCACCTGTCCATCCGTTTATCCGTCCTTCTGCATCCCATGTTGACTGAGCCTTGCTGTTGTGCTGGGCCCTCCCAGGAGTGGGCCCATCAGGAAGGAGTGAGTTGTCAGTCCCTGGAAGTGTCCAGAAGGACACAGACAAAGGCTGGACTGACTCGGAGCTGCAGCTGAATCACTTGGACGAGCCTGCTGCAAATCTGGACCCTGGCCCACCCCCAGACCTGTGGGCTCAGCATCTCCAGGGCTGGCACTCGGACACCGCCTCTCTCGTGAGCTCCCCAAAGAGGCTGATGCATGTCACAGTCTGCAGAGGTGGGTAAAGCCTCCCCCAGTCGCCCCCTGCCAACAGCTTTAGAGCTCAGACACCTGTGGCACAAATGAACGAAGTGTTAACTGAGGGAAACCTGGCCGGCCTGTCCACGCCAGGCACTGGGTCCTCGTGTCCCCAACCCTAGGCAGATTCTCCAGGCCCCTGGACCCTGTCTGTGAGCCTTAGAGTTGGGGTGCTCGGCATTCTGCCACCTACCCCTGGGAATCCGTCCGTAAAACCTGCTTTCCAGCCCAACAACAGATACTCAAACACTATGAAGCATAATGCACAACTTGCATGAGTTTTCAAGATAAAATGAGACACTTCAAAGACATCCCAAGCTTGCAGCGGGCCCTGGAGGATGTATCCCCAAGGCCCAGGGGAGCAGCGATTCTAGGGAAGAGTGGGAGAGGCTGACAAGAGAAGGGGCCCCCTGAAGGCCTCACCCGGCTCTGGCCCTAGTGCTGCCCCAGGGGCCCCGGGGCGCTGCCAGGCAAAGCAGCAGCGCAGACTCCGGAGATGCTCAGGCGGGCCGAGCCCCTTCTTGCAGCCTCCCCACTGGATCCTTGGCCCGCCAGTTCCCAGGCCGGCCCCCACCCTCACTCCCCACAGCGGGGGACGGAGCTGGCATATGAAACAGAAGCCTAACAATCCCCGACCTTCCCGGCACCGTCTTTGCCTAGAACTCCCGGATTTCCAACCGGGTGGATATCAGAGGAGGACGTGGAACCTCAAAGCGGAGGCTGATTAAAGGGGCCGCATCCCAGAGACGCGCCAATCCTGTCAAAACAAACTTTGCTGCGTCTGGAGATGCTCGCCGTGTTTGAAACGTGTTCATTAGATATGAAAAAGCTAGAGATTTCACATGAAGGGGAGGCTGGCGTCTGTGGGCTGCACTTCTTGCCCACATGGCGGTTTTGAAAATGGCTAGAGAAACGTGAGGTCCCTGCCCGACACCCCCCACCCCAGGTGTGCCTGGGGGCTGGGACCCGCTGTGCAATCTGAGCGGCACAGGCGGGGCACAGGCGGGGCACGCAGACTTGCACCACTCAGCAGGAGAGCACTGAAATTCTCTCCCAGCCTCAGTTTCCCCACTGGTGCAACAGAGGGCTTGCACTGGAGGGTCCCCAGAGTCCTTCCCTTCACCCTTTGGAGCCTTGGTTTCCCTCCCTGGAAAACGGGGACAGTGCAACTGAGCCCACATGTGCAGGGGGAAGGGCTCTGGGAAGGCCCCGCAGAGCTACCGGGGGAGAGGTGGGCTGTGGACAGGGGGGCTGAGGTGGCAGAGGGAGAAGGGGAACAACGCAGGAGGGAGCCAAAACCAGATTCTGGAACCTGAGCGGCTTCTTCTGGGCTGGGCCCGGGGATCTGCACTTTTGTCTGTGATCTGTCCTATGAAGCTCCCCACCCCCAACGTCCAACCAGGCCCCCCATCCTGAGGGGGCTCCCCTCCTCTCCGCCCCCAGCTGCTGCCCCCACCTCACTGGCTTGGACCACTGACTGTCCTAACCTCCCTGCCCTGCCCTTCCCCCGAACCCTTTTCCTCTGCCACCCACGCCAAACTGGCTGCTCATCCCCCAAGGAGAAGGCCGGGTCCTCAGCTGGGCATGCAAGGCCTCCCCAGACTGGCCCTGCTGCCCCTGCCCCAACACTGGCTCTTTGGGCAGACGCAGACACACACACACACACACACACACCCACCCACCCACCCACCCACCCTACCAGGGTCGCCTGTGACTGTGCCCGGAGGGGAGCTGACACCCCAAGGGGCTCTCGTCCCCGCCAGCCAGGTGACCACGGGGATGTGGAATCTCTCCCTCTGAGCCTCAGCGTCCTCATCTGTCAAATGGAGATCAGAAACCTTGTTGGAGGGGCGCCTGGGTGGCTCAGTCGTTAAGAGTCTGCCTTCGGCTCAGGCCATGATCCCAGGGTCCTGGGATTGAGCCCCGCATCGGGCTCCCTGCTCCGCGGGAAGCCTGCTTCTCCCTCTCCCACTCCCCCTGCTTGTGTTCCCTCTCTCGCTGTGTCTCTGTCAAATAAATAAAAAAAAATCTTAAAAAAAAAAAGAAAAGAAAAGAAACCTTGTTGGGATGACTTTTTAAAAAGCAAAATGTTTTCCCAACATCCTTTAAGCCTTGTCTTCTTTGCCAAGTCACCTCTTTGGTGAGGTCAGTGACCACAGAAAACCGAAGTCAAGGGCAGCCCTGGGAGGGGCAGACGCAGCCCCAGGCCCTCAGCTGGTCCTGGGCTCGGCAGGGCACAGTTTAGAGATGGGGAGCCCAGCACCTCACGTGTACACAGTGGGCCCTCAGGAGACAGTTCTGCCCACCCCCTTACCAGGCCACCCTGGGATTGACTGTCCCTGTCCCCCGACCAGTCTGGGGGCCTCCTGAAAGCACGGAAGGCTGCATAATCTCGTCCCTAGCGCCCAGCCCAGGGCCAGGGCGGTCAGCTCGGGGAAGGGAAAAGGAAGGAAGTTATGCCCCGTGGTCAGGCCAGGGGCTGACAGCCTGGGGAAGCCAGCGTGCTCTGACCACTGTACCCAACAGGGGCTGCCCCCGATCGGACCTGTTCCCCAGCCCCCGAGAGGCAGGGTGAGGCCCGGCACTGCCCACCCCTGAGCCCAGCCTGCGGCCGCCCTGCCTCTACTCCCAAACAAGCAGGGCCTACTCTCCCAGCCCTACCATTTGTCTTGCAGCTGCTGCCATTGCTCGGAGCGAGACGCTTGTAGCTTGTGAGCTGTGTATAGGCAAATCTTTCATTTTTCTTTCATTACGCCGGCGTGTACTGTCACTTAATTTTTATGTATGCAATCCTTCCTGACAAATATGATCTGCTGCCTGGTAATTCGTCTGACGCTCATTCTGTTCCGTGCTCTAATTACGGCTCCTATTCCTGACACCGAGGCAGCCGCTCTGCCACCGCTGGGTACCGCACCTGTCAGCCCGGCCATGGCATGACTAATGCCCTTTCATGCCAGCCTCGTGTTAGCAAATACAGAGGCAGGGAGGGGGCTGGGGGAGGGAGAGGCAGGAGGGGATGGGATTTGCATAAACCTTGTTGGGGGGAAGGGGGGGTCAGCGGCCTCGGCCTCAGGAGAGGAGATGGTTGCCGGGGCAACGTGGCTGCCCCCATAGCATCCCCACATAGTAGGTGCGCAGATGTGGTGGATGCATAATTCATGGCCACGCACAGGGTGCAAAGGAGCCCTGAGCCCGAGTCCTTACGGAATCACAATACAAAGGCAATTAGTTCAATCTCTTGCCCGACCAAATGTGTGCAGAAGACTGTTGGTAGCCCCTCACAGTGGAGAGGGGCCCTTTCCCCCTGCGTCTGGGGGACTCGGGTCCTGGGTTTCAGCTCTGCCCTGTACCTGTGGTGGAGCCCGGCCCGCGGTCCTGAGAGCCGGTCCTGGGCGCAGGGCCTCACTGCGTCAGCTCGGGGCGTCTCCTGGACATGGGCACAAGGCCCCCCAGGAGGGCTCCTTCCATCCATCACTCAGCCCGGCCGCTGCTCGGAGGCCTCGGGAAGAGCCCAGCCTAGCGAGCAGCCTTTTTCCAAGTTCCAATTCCTTCTCATTAATATAATAAGTGCACCAGTCCGAGTCGATCAACTCACTCTGTCGGACGAGCCCGTATTTCTGCCCGTTCCTGATGCTGTGATCCTAACCGGCTCTGACGAGCGCTGCAGCCTCCTTGGTGGAAGGGCCTGACTGACAGGGGACGGAGCCAGTGGCTTGAACTCTTCTCTTTGACAGTTGCCCTTGAATTTCTGACCTTTTGAAGCCCTTAAACCAGAGCAGTACACAGTCCCAAACTCACCGCAACACTTTGATTTTCCTAAGGAAGGGTCTGAGGGGACCGGGGAAGCCAAGGCTTCCTCACAGCACAGCCGACTGGGGGTGCAGAGGGAGAGCCAGAACCAGCCTCCAAGGCCCAGCCGCCGTCTTCTAGAGAAGTCTGGGCTCCGGAGGAGAGGCCCGGGTTCAAGTCCTGGCTCTGCCGCTCTGTAACTCACGTGAATCACTAGAGCTACCCGGGTTCCAGATTCCTCGTTCGCACAAAGGATCCGACGGACCCTCGCAGCTACTGGAGGTGTGAGTACAGTGTCGTCAGCTCAGGGGAGGGCGGGTCCTGTGCGTCCTTTCAAACCCCGCCCCCCACCCTCAGACACACGCACACTCTTGTGCACACACTCACGCACACGCACTCGGGCACACGCACGCACACACACTCGCTCACTCCAGCAAGCGGCTTGGAGCCGTCAATTCCCAGTTAGCGCATTTCTCCTGATTGTGTGCTTCACCCCGAGAGCCTCCAAGCCCTGGGGACCTGTACGAACAGTGACAGATTCCACCAGGAAAGTGTGTCTTCCAGAAAGCACCTCCGCTGTCACCAGAAGCGGCTGTTTGTACTCACGGCATGCTGCAGGCACTCGGGGAGAGCGTGGGGACTCGTGGGCTGGGGCCGCGGAGGGCAGAGTGGACTCCGAGGGAGGCGGTCAGAGAGCCGGGAACGGGCCGGGGGCGGGGAGCAGGACGCCCCTGTCATATCTGAGTCCTTCCCATCCGGCCCTGGTTAAATGCCGATATGCCCTGCTGTCACGCACGGGGGACCCTACTTCCACGTTCCACTGGGGGCTCTGCTGGTTTCTATATTCTAATCAAATGCAAACTCCTCATTCTCCACCATTGTATGAGTCACACCCAGTTACGTACCCTGTGTATGGATTCTGAACTGGGCATCGCTTCAGGTAACCCGAAACCCACACCTGCCCAAGTGTGTTCCCAAGTCCAGCCCTCGGGTGTTCCTGAACGGTGCCAGCCCACCAAGCTCGGGCACTTAGGCCCCCCCCACCCGCAGCACCCCTGTGCGCCCCTGCGCGCCCTGCCCTCCAGCTCACCACTTCCCTGTTCCTTGCCCCACGAGCTCCCCTGCACTCTGTCCCCTCCTACTGGGTGAGAACCTCGTCCCTGCAGCTTCAAAACTGCCTGTTTAAAAGCCAAAAACTGGAAATAGCTCCAATGTTCCCCACCAGGAGCAGCAGACCGAGTCCCAGGCAGGGGAACACGACAGAGCAACGAGAAAGACAGACGGCCGCCTTGTACGACAACAGAACTGCACAAAATGGGCTCCGCCATCCTTTCCGGAAGGGGCGTGGAGCAGTGTGAGGATGCAGCGGAGCCCCATCCAAGGCTTCTCAGGGCCTCAGTTTACCCCCTCTGGGTCACTATCGTGAAGAGGTAAGTAAAGTCTGGGACTCAGGAAGGCATTCTCCTGCATTAACGAACCAAAGGCTCTGTGCGGAGAATGTCCGTCTCTCCCCACGCGGTCACCCAGGACCTCCAGCAGCTGCTGGGACGTCTGGACAGGCCTCCTTACCTAGGGAGTGGGCTGCGGTGGTCTCGGAGCTGAAGAAGCGACCCAGGCCAAGGTCACCAAGCTTCACGACACCCGTGGCCGTGATGAACACATTGGCGGGCTTGATGTCTGACGAGGAAGGAGAAGGCAGTTGGTGTGGGGCTAGGAAGTCGGGGGGGCTGGGGTGGGACAGGGCAGCACCGAGCACCTTGCCGGTCCTCAGGGTATCCGAGAGTGGGCATGTGTGTGAGGCCCTGAGCTGGACTCACTGACGCCCCTCAGGACGGGCAAGATGCATGACAGCCACCTGGCTGGGTAGCACGATGTGGTTTGACGTCCTCGTGGATGTCCCCGGAGCCAGAGAGAGCGGAGGCAACGTGGCATCCCGGGGCCCCAGGGGCACCTGGCCTCCCGCTGGCTCCAGGCCCCGAAGCCCGGGGAGGGCCCGGCACGTACCTCGGTGCATCACTCGGCGCGAGTGCATGTGTTCCACGGCGCTGCACAGCTGGGCAAAGTACTTCCACACCGTCCTCTCGGGGATGAGCCGTTTCTGCTTCTTAAAGTACTGTCAGGGGGAAGACACACAGGCCTGGGTGACGGGCCGCAGGGCAGGGCCCCTGTCCTGTCCCCAGTGGTGGCCGGCACCTGGCACGGGGTGGGTGGGTAGGTGGGCTGAACCAAGAGCAAGTTTGGGACAAAGGGGGCCGTGTTCCCATCTGTCCTTCAGCCCAAACTGCCCTCCAAGGTCCCCCGTCTGCGCCGGGCCCCGCGCTGACCTCCCGGAGGCTGGGGCAGGCTGGGCCCTGAGTGCGTGTCCTGGATGGCTCTGTGGACTGCACCCTGAAGCCTGCTCGCAATCACACGTCCTCGGGCACTTTCTGGACACCCGCCCGTCTCCTCCCACGGCTCTGCCCCCGAGCCCCAGCCCGGCCCACACCGCGGGCACCCGATGCCCGGTGGTGAAGTCGAAGCTGCCCCGTCCCTAGGAACCAGCAAATCTCAGGGCACGCGATCGTTCACAAAGGCAGCAGGGACCTCGAGGAAATGGCCTGACATTCTTCAGTGGACCCCCAGTTTCGACAGGCCATTAATCGACTTCATTGCCCGAAAAAACATATTTAATGCTCCAGAAAACCAAACCAAACCCCCCAAACCACCCAAGCTGCACTGAGTGCGCTGTTAAGTAAACAAAGGCCCTGGAAGGAGCAAACCAAGAACAGGTCATCGTCCACGTCCCTTCCGGGGAGTCTCCTGTGCGCCGGGCCCGAGGCTGGGAACCTGAGGACCCGAGGTCGTTGTCCAGAGGCTTTTGCCTCAGAACAACCATCGTTTCCAAAGCAGCCAGGGGCGAAGCTGTGGGCCCACTGGTCCGGGCAGCCACTCTGTGCACGGAAGACAGGGGCTGACCCAGGACGCACGCCTGGCCTGGGGAAGGGAGCGTGCGGTGGAACACAGGACCTGGGGTAGCATCTGCCGAGCACCGGCCTCGTGCAGCCACCTTGCTGGGCCCTCAGCAGGGTGACGGCACACATCTTTACAGATGAGGAAACCAAGGGCCACTCAGGAGCCGGTAAGGGGCAGTCGCAGCCCGAACAACCCCGGGCCTTCCACCTACAGAGGCCAAGCTCTTAACCCTAATTAACTTCTAATGACGCCAGTAACCACCAGATGAGCCGACTGAGCTCAGAGAGGTTCAGGAACTTGCCCAAGGTCACCCCGCTGGAGCGCCAGAGCTGGGACTGGATCCGGGCACCCCCAACAATGGAACAGTCCTAGCTGGAAGCCCGTGGCCTGGCAGGAAAGCCCCATGAGGCTCTCCCGAGGCCCCATTCTGGGAGAGGGACCTCACGGATGAGAGAGGCTACAGCCCAGACCGCTAGCACGGGACCCCACTCCCCCCTCCCCACCGCCACCCCAGGCCTCCGTGGTGGGCTGGGCTGCAGTGTTATTTACGCCGTGATGTTGGTTAATCCTCATTATAGCTTTTAAGCTTGGCTGTGAATGGTGATTTTCTAAATGTCACGTCCTGTAAGCGCCGTGTGACATTTAGCGGGAAGGCACAGAGTCTCTGGTGGGTTTTGGGGTGGCGGCAACTCTCAGCTTCACTGTCCATCATAAATAACGTTGGCACCGTGGCGGTGGTGGCACTGGTTGACCTGAGGCGGCAGGCCCCTGGGACGCAGGGTCTTACTGCTCAGCAGCCTCCAGGCTAGCCCAGTGGGGTGACCATGGTGCAGCGGCAGCCCGGGGCCCTAGCAAGGCCCCCATATCCCCCTCAAGCCCAGAGGCAGCCGGAGAGTTAGGAAGGCCAGGGAAGCTGAGCTCCTACCAAGCCCCAGGCATTGGGTAAGTATATTACAGATGGGGAAACTGAGGCATAGGGACTGGCCCAAGGGAGGAGGGTTGAGCAGAGGTGTCTGACTGTAGACCGAGGGTCTCTCTTCTGCCCTGCCCTGCCTCTCCTGCGTGCTGGGGGCAGCACCCAGCCAGGCCCTGCAGGTGAAGGGCCTGGAGCTCAGCAGAGGGAAGAGGGGGAGGCAGGAGGGGGCAAGGGCCCCATGACTGTGGGAGCGGGGGCACCGTGCCAGGAGAACAGGGCTCCTGAGATGGCGCCAGGAAGCCGGCATCTGCCCCAGAAACCCCGTGGGTGAACGACCGACTTGAGCCCTGGGCTGGTGTGGGCCCTGAGGAGGCCAGGGAAGTGCACAGAAGGGGGCACCGCACCCCAGGCCAGGCACAAGGTGCTGGACACTCACGCGTCTCCCTCCTCTCTTTTCCCTGGAAGGAGCCTGCACCCAGCCCCGCGGCTCCCACAGTCTCCAATGCATCCCCAGGACAGAGATGGAAGCAGAGCTTTGTGGGCAAGGGGTCTGATTTGCCCAGTTTCCCCTACACCCCACTGTTTAACCCCAGTCCCCACTCTGTGGACTGAGAGGCTGCAAGGAGTCTGGGTTCTGCGGGGGCTTTAGGGGACAGCACCCTCGCTGTGGGCCACACTCCAGGGCCCTTCCTCTGGCTCCTCTCCACCTCCTGTGCACTGCCTCCGTCCCCACCCCCCATCCCTACTCTACTGAGCATCTAGCCTTTCTTCTAGAACACAGTGCTGACCATGCCTACTCCCCACCGTGAGTCCTAGGAAGCTCCTTGCCGACGTTGGGGCAAGGTCTCAAATCCTGGGGCTGGCCAGTAAGGTCCTAGGTGACCTACCTTGCCTCCCGCTCAACCCCTGCCTCCACCTTGACCAGGGCTTTGTGGACCCTGGACTGTTCATCCCACTGGGCTCTTGCACACGCTGTTCTGCCCTTAGACTGCTGCTCTCTACTTGTAGGTCTCAGCTCAGGTGTCACCTCCTCCAGGAAGCCTTCCTGGGCTCCCACAGGCCCTGAGCTTGGCTCACTCACACTGGCTCGTGACTGTCCCTTTATGGGTCTGCCCTCCTGTTAGAAGGCGAGCTCCCTGCGGGCAGCACCCACGCTGAGGTCTCAGCATGGGGGCTGGCGCACAGGGCGTGTGGGTTGCGTGCATGTTCGGCAGGAGAACAACATGACGGAGAATGGCGGTAGGGGTTGGGGGAGAAGGAGGAACTGAGACATGATAGAGCACATCTGTTCCCACCAGGGATCTGTGTGGAGATTAACGTCCCTGCAAACACATTAATATGTCAACGAAAAAATAAAAGCAGGTGATAACAGCTCAAGTAATGCTGCTTCCCAACGACGCCCCAATTCCTAGGAGCCAAATTTCAGAAGAGCAAGCGTGGAGCAATTGCTCAATCCCCAGCGCCTGGTGGAAAAGACAGAGAATCCATGTCTGGCCCCGTTTGCAAGTGTTGCTGGGAGCAAGGTGGGGGCTCCAGCGTAGCTGGCCTCGCTCAGAAGCAGACTGGGCTGGGGGAGGGAGGCAGTGGGGGCCCACAATGGCCAGCATGCAGACTGGTCAAGCCAACAGGGGAGCAGGGTCTTGTCCACACAGAGGCTGTGCAGCCTCAGGCTGGTGACTAACCCTCTCTGAGCTTTGCTATCTGAGGACAGTGTGCGCTTAGTGAGAGATATGTGTGCTCAACGTGGTTGTGGCTCAGAGTAGGTGCTCCATCAGTGGAGCTGTGATGGTTCCTGAGTCCAGACTCACAGTGGGGGCCTGGTCCTGGGCCCCAGGAGGAGGGGTACTGGGGGCAGAGTGGTATGGGGGCTGCTGGGGGATGGAGAGCAAGAGCCAGACCTGGCAAGTCACTCAGCCTCTCAGAGACACCCGGTCTGGGCCATTACATGGGAATGAAGGGATCCCTCAAGTGCTGGAGGGGCCCCAGGGAGATCTCTCGGGTTGCCGATCTCTGGAGGGTCCCAGGCCGGGAAACAGAGCTGGGCCACACAGATATGGCTCTGTCCCCCAGGTTACTGGGTATCCTTGGGTAAGTCTCTTAGCCTTTCTGGGATGTTTTTCCTTTGGGAAGTTGGATGCACAACACATTTTCCCAGATTCTGTGAGCTGGGGTTCGGACCTAACACAGGGTTCTGTCCCCGTTCCTTCTGTGAGGCAGAAGTGACAGACTGTGGGCAGTCTGGGGTGCTGGGGACGCCAGAGGGGTGCTTTCTGTCCGTGGCTGGACTTCTCCCAGAAAATGGGGCTGGAGCTCGAGGGGGCACTCGCCAGGCTGAGGGGCTGCCTGACCCTGGGTTCCCTGGGTCCTCGCACCCCCCCAGAACCAGCCTGCCTGCCAGGCACACTCACCTTGATCATCTGCGAGAGATCCCCCGCATCGGCCAGCTCCAGTACAATGTTCAGCTCGTTGTCCTCAATAAACGAGTCCAAATACTTGATGATGTTGGGATGGTTCAGTTGCTGTCCAAAGAGAAAGACAGGGAGGCAGAACCAGTGAGGGACAGTTCAGCCCCGCACCTGCGCCGTGCTGGCTCCCAGCTGTCCCCTGTTAGTGGGCTAACACTGCAGAGGGCAGTGTCACCTGGGAGTCAGGCAGGTCTGGGCCACACTGGGAGAGCCCTTCTGCATCTGTGAGTCTCAGTGTCCTCATCTGTACAATGGGCGTAATGTGTTGAAGGGCACACTGGATGGGCCGAGACCTCTGAAATGTCTAATGTGGAGACTGCCCTGAGCTGAGACTCCACGGGACACGATCCTGCTCCTGCTCTCCCTCACCAGCCATGACCCTCGAGGGTAGGGCCAGGCCCCCACCGCTCTAGTGCTGTGCTCAGCTGGCCTGCAGCTGGTGCTCCCCAGTGTGTCCATCTCCCTTCTTCCTCCCCACCCTCAATTTGACACATCCTTGTGAAATCTGGAAAGACCCCAAGCATTTCTGGCACAAAAGCCGCCCTAAGTGCTCTGCTCGGCGCCAAAGCCCGGCCTCTGGCCCGACCACCATGGCGCGTGTGTTTGCCAGGCGGGACAGCACCCCACCGGCTGGAAGTCAGCCCCCGCCTGGCTGAGAGGGGACAGACCCTGGCAACTGCTTATAACGCAGACTGTTTCCACCAAAACGATTCCAGGGTCTGGGAAAGCAGAGGGGATTCAAACGTTCTGCCAGAGCTTGGTCGGCCAAGTCCACAGGGGCGCCCGTCAGCCGACAAGCAGAGGCCACTCTAGTGCACACTTTCTAGAAGGCCTGGAAGTTACTCTGAGGGGGATGTGTGTTTATGCTGTGCCGACCTATGCCCGTCTTTGGATTCTAAAATGAGGGGGACCTTGGCAGAGATCACGTGGCTGTGCCTTCCCCCATTTATTCTTTTCCCCAAACCTGCTCTGGATGGCAGGCACCCCTCAATCAGACCCCCAGGAGCCACGTGGCTGTCCCCCAGCCTGTCACTGGCCACGTGTCTCCTTCAGCTCCACCCTACCTGCCCAAGTCCTCAGGCCCCTGCTCTGGGTCAGCCCCTGGCCCCGGTGTGGGTTCACTGGCTTCCACACCCCCCCGCCCCCCACCAGCACCAGCCCATCTCGAAGGGCTGTCCTGCTGGGCTGCCCAGCAAACGTTATTATTCTAGTTTCAGCTTCTACGTTTAGGTCTATGATCCATTTCAAATACATCTTTATGTTCAGTGTGAGGTAGGGGTCAAGGCTCACTTCTGTCCATTTGGATGTCCAGTGTTCCCAGCACCTGGAATTGAAAGTCTTTCTTTCATCCACTGAATTGTTTTGGTGCCTTTGTCAAAAAATCACCTAGCCCACATTTTGTTTTGAGGTCTCCCTGGAGCTAACACTGCCCATCACACCAGCTGCCCTCAGCACAAGTCACGTTCCAAATATATTTTTCATTTACAAGATATCGAAGCAAATGGAATGCGGGCACTTCATAAAGTTGAAGATGCTTTACAATCGTGAATGCACGTTATGAAATGTCAGCATTGTTGTTGTTGTTATAACACAAGTCCTCCCCCCCCCACCCCCCTCCCTGGACCTCACCTCATGACTTCCCCGGGAAACCTCACACCCTTCTCAGGGAGTGCTCCCAGAGACCGGCCAAGGTCACCAGCAGGCTGGGCATCACTGTTTCGCAGATGACTTGGAAAAATTGGAGGGGGTTTGGGTGGGAATTAAAGCTTCAGTCAAGGGGGCTGTTCCCTCCAGGTGTGGGCTCCTGGGGAGAAGAGGGGGAGGCTTCTCTCCTTGCTCTTAGGGCAACTCTGAGGAGGAGAGGCGAAGCAAAGGCTCCCTCAAATATCTGGCCAGGGTACAAAGGCACAGACAGGGGCAAAAAAAAGTCAGCTGGGGGAAATCCCCAAAGCCTGGCGAGGGAAGGGGTTGACTCTGGGACCAGGCTGGCCCCCGAGCCTGGTCTAGTAACCACAGACCGCTGTCCACCCAGAGTCCCCTTCTCAGCCTGTAGTCTGTTGGTGAGCCCAGGTGTGTCTTTTTTTTTTTTTTTTAAGATTTGCTTATTTGAGCAAGAGAGAGAGAGGGAGCGAGCGTACACACGCACAAGCAGGAGGGGCAGAGGGAGAGGGAGGGAGAATCTCAAGCACAGAGCCCCATGCAGGGTTCGATCTCACAACCCTGACATCACAACCTGAGCTGAGACCAAGACTCAGATGCTTAACCAACTGAGCCACCCACGTGCCCCTCGGGTGTGTCTTAAAGTGGACACACTCGGGCCAAAATGTAAGAAGTGCTCCAAAGATGCGGAGTGGTTGGGGTCTGTGGTTTGTGAGTGGGGGAGGGGTGGCTGCTTTGGCTTCATGTATCTGGGGTTCGGGGAAGCCACACCTCTAGACTCATCTCCAGTGCAGCTTCCCCTGGCAGCCTCGGCCAGCCTCCCGCTCTCCTGTGTCCCCACGATCCACAAACCTCCCTCTCTCCCACAGTCCAGAGCTCCACAGAGTGGGGCTGTCCCTGCAGCTCCAGGCCAGGCCTGACGGTGGCGGTGGCTGCCGAGGGCTGGACGATGGCCGGAGGGAAGGCAGAGGTGACAGTAATGGGCTCAGGTTCCCTCTTCGAATCTCTGTCCCATTTGTGGCCCCTCTGGGACCTGCTACAGCAGTCTGTCTAGGACGTGTCTCCCCTGCTGGCTGCGTCCTTGAGTCCAGGGCTCGGGGGTGCTCACGGCTGTGCTGACCATGCGAATACAGGATCTCTGCCTGTCTTCCGACAGGGCCCACCCCCCTGCCCCACGTCTGGTGGCCTCTGCACTGGGAGGTTCTGGGGTTTGGGTCCTGGCGTGAATGACGTGAAACGGTGTCGCCTCGTGACCCCTCCGAGAACTGTGTTTCTCTGTGTTTTGCCGGAAACACCTCGTGCCCGGGGAACATCCTGCTGACCTCCCGTGGGCAGGCTGGGGAGCTGGGTAAGGGCTGGCGTCCAGCGGCAGACGTTATAACCGTGGGCTGCCCGTGACGAGCACCTACCACACGCCAGATGCGACACTGAGCCCTTCCACCCCAACTTCTCACGAATTCCCCCGACAGCTGAGGCCAGTACTGATATCATCACCCCTTTTTACGGACGAGGAAACAGAAGCCCCGAGCGGTCAACAGCTGGCCCACACCACACGGCTAGAGAGTGAGGAGTGTGCCCACCTCTCAAGCCATGGTCAACGGCACGTGGCTACACAGCAGCCCGAGGAAGGGTCAGAGTCCATCCCCCGCCGGCAGGCCCAGGCCACCCCAAGCCTGGCCCCCTTCACTGGAGCCCAGAGACCCGCAACAAGCTGGCTCAGAACGTGCGCACGCATCGTTCCCGCCCCACCGTGACCGGCACACGTGCGTTCTCGGCCACCAGAGGGGAGAGAGGGCGGGTGACTGGGACAGCCAGTCCCCAGGGCTGGGCAATCGGGAGTCCTGAGATCACACCTGGGGCCCAAAGTTGACCGTCCCATAAAATTTTAAAAATGTTATCTGAAGGGAACTTTTGGACCTATGATGGTTAGAGTTGAGGACACTTCCTGATAATCCTCCCTGTGAGCCCTCGTGGCTAGGGGCCCCTCCCAGCAAGGGCTCACGGGTCACATGGGACCCCATCGCCCCTGCTCTCAGCCCCTTCAGGGGCTCCCCTGTTGTTCCCACGTTCAAGTCCTACCCGTCCGAGGCCGCCACCAGCTGGCCCCCCTAATTGCACACCATCAGGACCCCTGCAGCAGGCTCCTTCCAGCCTTCCAGATTCTGGGACGGGACCCTGGCCTCTAGGGGGCTTCTCCGACCTGGGCCCGGGTCGGCCAGCCTCACTCCCACAGTCCCCCAGGCCGGGCTGCTGGCCTGCTCCTCACTGCCTCGGAGGGGACCGGGCCTGAGAGCCCAGGGCGCACCTGGCAGTGCAAACCGCTAATCTGGAATCCTGCGGGAGGGGTCTGTGTCCTCGCCACCAGCAGCCTCACTGTGCCGGAAGCTGCGGAGCCAGCCCTCCGCCTCATGGAAAGGACAAACACCGAGTGAGTGCCTGCTGGGCTCTCTACTGTGCCAGGTACTATTTCATCTCTTCAGATACTATTTAATCTTCTCTAACTGCCCATATCCCGTGTGGCAGGTACTCTCACCACCAAGCAGATGGGCAAACGGAGGCTCCGGGAGGCTCAGTCACTAGCTTAAGGTCACACGGCTTGTAAATGAAGACATGAGGATTCGAACTCACGCTCCTGGGCCTCCGAAACCCGTACCATTCCCCCTCCTCCACCACCTCTGAGACCCCAGGCAGAATCCCAAGCCTGGGGAACAGGAAGGGATCTCCAGGAGGGAGCGGCCCTAGGCTGGGGCTGAACCTAGTCCAGAAAGTTCTGTCGTCTCTGACTCTGGGAAGACTGGTGAGGAAGCTGGCAGGGAGGGGGAAGGAAAGACCATCCCCGACCCCAAGGTGCCCTGGTAGGTCTGTCCTTTGTACAAGCCCCCTCCAGTTGTGCATCCTGCCTCCTCTTTGGGGAGGCCTGGGAAGAGCCCAACAGGACGACAACCCGGGTCCCCTGGGCACCAGGAACCTGGGCCGCATACCTGGCTGTGCCTCCTCTCCAGCGTCCCAGGCTGGCCTTGCTGAGTCACCCAGATGAGTGGAGCATCTCCTGGGTGGCAGTGACTTGGTGCCCTCAGGGGAAGGACTTTGGTGCCAGGCACTGCCGTCCATAAACACAATCAGTGTGGGGCCAGGACAGGCAGTCTGGGGGTGCCATGAGGGCTGGGCAGACGTGAGGTGGGGTCCACGCCCACCCAACCATGAGAAAACAAATGAGCCACCGCCCTCAAAAGGCTGTTGTTTCTGAATCTAACAGGCTACAGGCTGTGAAGGCCATGAGGTGGCCCGGTCTAGGGACCAGGCCACCTCAAGGAAGCGAGGGGCTCCTGCTCAGTCCAGGGCGCTCACCTTCAGGAGGCCAATCTCCTTGACGCAGTCCTGCCTGGCTTTGGCGTCCATCATCTCAAATATCTTGGGTGAGAGGAAAAAGAGAAAGAGTGGTTAAAACCCAGCTCCCAGAGCCCCCACTGGGAGCCACAGGGGCCGGAACTCCCAAAACCCATCACGGCCCAAAAAGGCAGGACAAAGGGGCGCCTGGGTGGCTCAGTTGTTAGGCGTCTGCCTTTGGCTCGGGTCATGATCCCAGGGTCCTGGGATCGAGCCCCGCATCTGGCTCCCTGCTCGGCGGGGAGCCTGCTTCTCCCTCTGCCTCTGCCTCTCCCCCTGCTTGTGCTATCTCTCTGTGTGTCAGATAAATAAATAAAATCTTTAAAAAAAGGGGGGGGGCGCCTGGGTGGCTCAGTTGTTAAGCGTCTGCCTTTGGCTCAGGTCATGGTCCCGGGGTCCTGGGATCGAGCCCCGCATCGGGCTCCCTCCTCCGCAGGAAGCCTGCTTCTCCCTCTCCCACTCCCCCTGCTCGTGTTCCCTCTCTCGCTGTCTCTCTCTCTGTCAAATAAATAAATAAAATCTTGAAAAAAAAAAAAAAAGGCAGGACAAAGAAGCCAGGCGAGCCCCTCCTTGCAAGACAAACGGGGCCCAGCAGAGGGGCCCGTGTCTCCTCCAGCGACCTGGACCCGCCCGTGCGGTTTGCAGACCAGCAAGGAAACCATCGTGCGGGTCCGCTGCCTGGCTCCCCACCTGTGGCTGCGTCTGAGTCACCTTCTCTCTCCCTGGCCTCCTCAGCCCAGGCTGTTCATCTCACTCTTAAAAGGACAAATGAGCAAACTGAGGTCTCGGGAAGCTCTGCGGGAGGATTTAAAGCTACTTCCTGAGGCAAAGCCCCGTTCAAATGGGCCCAGTGGCTCTCACTGAAACGCTTCCTGGCTGGACTCTGCGGCTGAGGACTCACCTGCTTGAGCCCCTTCCTTCGTTTAGGAGGAACACGGAGGCCAGGAAAGGCTCTCAAGCCCAGAGGCGACCAGCAAGTGCAGGGCCCAGGGTGAGTGGGTGCAGGTCTAAGTCTGAGCTCCCCCTCAGCTCGTTCGGTGTGCCCAGTGAGATAGATACTCACGCCTCTGCAGCTTTCCTGATCTGAAAAATGGGGTGACCACCCTCACCCACAGGACCGTTCTCCAGGCACGACCCAGTATACAGTGGTGTTCAATGCATGCTCATTTTCCTTTTCCTTTATGGCCTGCATGAGCTTTTGTCATCAGGACCCACCTAATCCTTCCCACGGCCCAGAGAGCTGGGTCCTGATTGCAGAGGAAGGGGAGGAGAAGGAAGTGGCAGGAACTGGCCCAGGGCCACAGTGTTTAGACACAGAAGGCTCTGAACCCACGGGGGAGCTGGCTCACCTGCACCTTCTTCAGAGCCACCGTCTTCCTGTCTAGCAGGCAGGTGGCCTTGTACACCTCGCTGAACTGTCCTCGGCCGATCTTCTTCTCGATCTGGAAGTCGGCCAGCGAGCAGCGAAAAGACAGGGTGTTTGGGTGCCTCTGGAGAAGGGGGACAGAGGACATCAGTGGCCAGCCAGGCTGCAGTGAGGGGCCAGGATGTGGCCCCTTCCAGAACCTGGCAACTCCAGCGCACTCCTCCAAGGTGAAGGAGGGACCGTGACTGCCAACCTCACTGTCAGAGACTCCACGCCACGACACCCCCACTCTGCGGATGGGAAACCGACGCCGCGCGTTTCTACCATCCCTCATTACCTGATCGTTCGTTAGTCTGCTTGTTTCTATCTCCTACTTCCAGAATGGTGGCTCCCCGGGGCCAGGGCCTTGCCCACCTTGCTCACTTCTGAATCCCTTATGCCAAGGTCGGAGCCAGCAAATAGAGCAGGTGCAATTAAGGGGTGAAGGAAGTGACCCGGCAAGGTCACACAGTGAGGGGGAGGAGGCCCTGCTGGGTCTTCCCGGCCCCAACCCTCCCCCTGCAAGTCATCGTCAGATGTGGCAACTTCCCCTCCTGGGGCTCCCATCTCGAACTTGAGAAAACCGAGCATCCATCTGCAGCCTTACCATTCCGAGCCCTTGTTTGGATAAACAGCCCCCTTCACGGTGACATGAGGAATCCAGACACTTCACGCTGACTCTCCAGGGGCCGACACTGAAACCCACCACAGAGAGTAGGGCCTGCCCCGGGATGGAGCTGCCCGGTGAGGTACCCCCTGACCGTCCCCACAACACACGTGCAATGTGCTCTGGGAAGAAGGAGAGGAAGGGGTGCCCACTCGGGCCCTGGAACGTCGGGGAGGTGGGGAGGAGGCCACGGCTCTGGTCTGCCCCGCGTCAGCCGGGCAAAGTGGGCCCTCCTCCTGCTACAGCCCCCACCCCCCACACTGGGGCAGGGGACCGCCGCCGCTGGGGACCCTCGGGCTGGGTGCCGGTGCGAGGACAGGGTCTCGCGTGTAGTGTGGGTACAGAAACATCTGCGGAGTTCACTGGGGGAAGTGGGGGTGGGACGAGAAACACTGAGGGCCCCACTGAAGCAGGAAGGGACAGTGTGAATTTCCCAATGTGAAAAGGCCTCTTCCAGACTTGGGCCGGAAGCACGCACGGGGGTGAAAGATGAGGTATTTTATTGGGCTGCGTTCTGGAACTCTCCTTCACCCGAATACCAACCTGCAGACCAAGAAGCCCCGGCAGGAGCCTGGGGAGCCCGGTGTGACTGGCATCCTATTCAGGATGTCTGTTCTTAATCAACTTCCATGTTTTCCTTCTTTGGTCAGTTTAAACCGTGAAACAGGCAAAGAGGAGGGAAAACACGCGCCATCACGGTAAGGTTCAGTAAAGTTAAAAACCCAGTAACCGAAGTCCTCAGCCATGACCACCTACGAAGCCTTTAAGACCCCACGTGATCGCCCACCCAGGCTCCTCGCACCTCTGCGATCCTGCTGCTTTATTACTTTCTCCCGCTCCCTCTGCTCCTTCCACGCTGACCAACCTCTTTTGCGCTCACTGGGCCTTCTGCCTGGAACGTCCCTTGAAGCCTCGCCGTTTCCGTCCCTCCCACACTTCCGGCTCGTCTTCCTTCTTCATTGCTAACCTTCCAGCATTCCAAATCCCGTATTTTACTTCGCTACCTGTCCGTCTCCCGACCACCGGCAGGTACGCCCGGCAACATGGTATCTGGTATGCGGCAGGTACTCAATAAACATTTGTTGAGTGAGTAAATATTCACATCTATGGAGATGGCGTACTTTTTAAACACCCAGAATTGTGTGAACACATTACTCTGAAACTTGCTTTTCCCTCTCTCAGTTAACTGATGGACATTGTCAATTGACAGGGATTTAAATAACCCCAGACTATATGCCACAGTAAGCTTGTTTCCAATCTGCTGTCACTATAAATAATGTTGCAATAAGCATCCTTATATATATTTCCTTATGCGTATTTCCCAGGTCCCTGGCTGGTGATCTGGGGCAGTTACCCGAGCCACTCTGCCCCATTTTCCTGTCTGCAAGGCAGAGAGGTATAGAAGCGTGCTTGTTTCATACGGTCGCTGTAAGGATCACGTGAGATTGCTGAGCTTTCCCCCGCACCACCACACATACGGCAGGTGCTCAGTGGTCCCTATGACTGACAGGCGGGGTCTGGAGGAGGAGAAGGGGCCCTGAGCAGCTACTCCTCACGCCCACTCTCGGCCTTTCTGAACCTGCCCAGACCCAGCCCTGTGCGAAGGAAACCCCCCTGCCAGGAGTGAGTGATGGAAGTGTGAGCCTCACAGCCTGCTGCCTCCTTCCCTCAGCAAGGTAACGGTTAGGCCAACCTTGACTCTGAAGTCTTGAGGCATAATTACGCCCCCCGGGGAGGGATTTGAAGCCGCTGCCTACTGGGGGCTGAGCAGGAGGGAGGGCTGGTGGAGAAGGAAGACCACATTCTCATCCACCGCATACCAGCGTCTGTCAAGTAAGTTCCTTAGCAACAGCAATTAACCTCCCTATATGCTAAGCACCCATGTAAGAAGAGCGAGCATTTATTGAGCACTTACTGTGTGCCGGGCACCGTGCAGAACGCTTCCCATGACCCTGTGAGTAGGCATCACCCTTATCCCCATATTTCAGGAAACTGAGGCTCGGAGGGGAGGCAGTGACCGGCTCCAAACCTCACAGTGAGTAATGGGAGGGATCTGAACCCGGGACTGGGGACTCTGGAGTCTCCACCCATTGAGTTCTACCAGGTGGTCTCCCAACTCAGATTCTTCCTCTGCTTTTCCTTCAAGACCCCGTGACTAGCCAGGTCTATGCTTTCTGATTCAGCTAGCTTCTGTCTTTCAGGCCCCTGAGACCCCGCCCCCCAAACATGGGCCTCTCCAAAAGCACGCCCCTGCCTTTTCCCCTCCGTGTCCCCTGAGCGGAGGCTCTGACCTGCCCCGAGCAGGAGCTCGGGACTTGTTTGTCAAATGACACGAAGGAACAGCCTGGTGTGCTGTGGCCCTTTGGGATGCAGCCACTGTCCCTTCCGAGTGCAGCCGAAATCCCACCCCCTCAGAAGAAGGTGACTTCTCACACCTGCAGGGATCGCACATGCCCGTGAGGCTGACGGCACGCCCGTGGGCTAGTAGGCGCCCGCCGCGCAGCAGTCACCTGCTAGCTGCTTACACAGGTCTTGTGACTGCAGTCTCCTAACGGCCTTGTAAAGCAAGGCTTTTCATCCCACATCACAAGGAAGGGAACTGAGGCACAGTCGCACAGCTGGTCCGTGGGGAGCTGAGACCTGAACTCCCTGCCGATCTCAAGCCGGCTGTGCTGAGAGGCGCCCTGGGCAAGGGCCCCTCCCCTCTAAGGGCCTCAGTTTCCCCCCTGGGACAGTGAAGCGTTTGGAGGACGTGCTCTCCTAGGGTCCCTGCTGTGCAGACACTGGCTTTTCACCGTCACTAGTGACTGAAGTCCCTTGTCCACCCCAGAGATGTGCCCCCAAAGGCCACGCTGCTCCCGAGGATGGGCGGAGGATGGGGGGCGACATCCCAGCTGGCATCCTGAGACTCCAGTGGCACTTCTGCATATGCGATGACCCAGATTTGCATTTCCTGTCACAACCCATTCCACCTAATTAGAGGAATGAGCTCCTGGGGTGGGGGGGTGGGGGGGCAGTTTCCTCTGGCAGCAGCACCACGTGGGAGGGGGACAGCCTGAGCAGTCTTGGGGACACCAGCACCCTCACAGGGGTCGGCATGGGGTCCTGTCCCTCTTGATGCCCTCTGTTCAGGCGGGGGGGGGGCAGCACAGGACACAGGGCACAGTGCCTGAGCCACGAGGGCCCAGACTCCGAAGTAATTCAGGGGTTGTGAGTGCAAGAGGAAAAGGTGAACGGAGTTCTGGTCCCTAAGGCCAGGCCTCTCTCCACTGCCACCTCCAAGGGCTTCCTCCCCTCCCGCGTCAGGCCTCAGCGAGCTCCACTCTGGCCCCTGCAGCCGAGTGAGTCTGTCCACAACAGGGGGACGTTAGCAATATCAGCCCTGGGATTTCTCTGAGGATTCCAGGATGTGATGCTGGTGCCAAGGGTCCCGGGAGCTCTGAGCTGCCGGGCAAACTCGAGGCTGGCCCCAAGCAGCTCACACTACGCCGGCTCAAAGGCAGTAATCCTGATGGCCTTTCTGAAAACTGCTCATCTAATAGTCCTCACTGGCCCCTGTTCCGTCTGGAACCCCATGCTGGCTCCTAGGAAAATTAGCCCCGGGGGGAGCGGAGGGGTGACCGCCGCTCCGGCTCCCTCAGCTGAGACACTGACACGGGGCTGCAGAGGCCTGGGTTCAAATCCCAGATCTGCCACGTGCTGGCTGGGGGCTGTGGACAAGCACTCTGGGCCTCAGTTTTCTCACATGTACAATTAAGGTGATCACAGGGCCTCCTCCCGAGGGCGGCTGGGGGGTAAGTAAGTTACTGAATGAAGGCACCTGGGAGACGCTATAATGGTGTTACTGTCATTAGGGGTGTCGGCGTCGCTCAGTCTGCAGAGCGAGGACTGGGGCTGCACCTGCCTCCCAGGGGGCTGGGGACGAGCCGAGGCAGGGAGTTCTCAGCGGCTGTACCACCAACCCCACCATCCCCACCCCACTGAGGGTCTGCACTGGGGCTCTTGCCAGCTCTGGGCTCTTTGGCTGTGAAAAATAAAATGAACTTTGAAGTCAAAGAATAAGACCGATGACACCCATGACGTCAGATGCCATGTTGGGGGTTTGAAGTATTCCATCTCGCTTAGTCTTCACAGCCCCATTTTACAGATGAGGAAGCGGAGGTTCAGAGAGGTCATTGACCCGTCACCTGACTGCAGTAAAGCCCCTGTAGCCTTCTGACGCCACTCTCCCCTGCACGGGTCATCCAGGAATGTTTGCCAAGGGACTGCGCTAGACAACAGGCTCACCTCGCCTCCCTGTCTAGGGCTATGCTGTGGGCCACTTGCAGGGCAAATGCTGCTGGAAGCCATTTCTGACTCCTCAGCCCCCTTCCCCAGGGTGGGAGCCCCTCAGTTCTCCCCCAGAGGAGGAGCAGGCG